GCACGAGAAATGAATGGTCGGGATCATGAAGAGCGTAATCGCACAACTTACATAATCGCCAAGTCTACGTTTCGATCCCCGTCGCCCCTTCGAGAAAAGTCTACTCAAGTAATAAAACGTACGTACTGTACATGAGGCTATGACGTACCTTTTTGACGAAGGGTAATCCGCGTGGTGTTTATTAGAGCGCAGCTCTTAGGGGCCCGTTCCCGGCTTGAGCGGCGTCGCCGTCGGCGTCGGCGTCGGCGTCGGCGTAACCGCAACTCTCGTAACCCTCGTGAGGGTTACGAGGGTTACGAGGGTTAATCTCATGAGGGTTACCCTCACGAGGATCACGAGGGCCACGAGGGTTACTTACCCTCGTAACCCTCACGAGGGTTACGAGGGTTAGTTACCCTCAAAAGGGTTACCTTCACGAGGGTTACCCTCACGAGGGTTACTTACCCTTGTAACCCTCACGAGGGTTACGAGGGTTAGTAACCCTCGTGAGGGTTACTTACCCTTGTAACCCTCACGAGGGTTACGAGGGTTAGTAACCCTCGTGAGGGTAACCCTCGTGAAGGTAACCCTTTTGAGGGTTACGAGGGTTAGTAACCCTCGTGAGGGTAACCTTCACGAGGGTTACCCTCACGAGGGTCACGAGGGTTATGAGAGTTACCCTCACCAGGGTTACTCACCCTCGTAACCCTCACGAGGGTTACGAGGGTTAGTTACCCTCACGAGGGTCACGAGGGTTATGAGAGTTACCCTTACGAGGGTCACGAGAGTTACCCTCACGAGGGTCACGAGAGTTGCCCTCACAAGGGTTACTAGGGTTACCCTCACGAGGGTCACGATGGTTACCCAGGTCGTGACCCCCCCTGGGGTCACGTGACCTGGGGATACCCCCCGAGGTCACGTGACCCCCCGTTGACGTCATAGGCACTGATGACGTCGTCAGTGACGTCACTGATGACGTCACCGGCATCCGCATCGTCATCGTCATCATCACTGATGACGTCATTAGTGACGTCACTGATGACGTCACCGGCATCCGCATCGTCATCATCATCACTGATGGCGTCATCAGTGACGCTACTGATGACGTCATCGGTATCGTCACGTGGCCCCAGGTCACGTGACCCCCCGACGTCACGTGACGCCCCAAGGTCACGTGACTCCCACAAGGTCACGTGACCCACAAGGTCACGTGACCCCCAAGGTCACGTGACCCCCCGCCCCCCGAGGTCACTTGACCCACCCCCCAGTACCCTTCCCTCCTCCTCCTCAAGAGCTGCGCTCTAATTCGGCGTTACAGGGAGTTGTAAACGGCTTTCATTTTTTGAGTTCTATATAAAACATAACAGCATCACTTGTGACGAGCGACTGCGTCCGACACGCTCGATTCTGACACCATCCAATCCACGACCGGCTTGAAGGAAACAGACATTCTTCAAACTCCACAGCTCTCTACTACACAAGAAATAACACCGGAACGACAAAGGAACGAAAGGAAACCAGCAGGTCCCCAAAACCAGGTTAGCTATTCATGCGGGAAAAGACCACTTGAAACAAAGGGTCGTACGTTCATTTGAGGTGCGGGGCCAAGCGGGAAGGGGGTCTTCTTCGTTTGTTCTGAGCAGAGACATCACCACCCAAGGCTCGAGATAGATTCACCTGATTCACACGCGAAGACATGAAAAACAGCAGAGCGCGCGTTCCTTCTTCTCGCGGTCTTGGGAAGGCGCATGATTCACCACCGCCGTCGATGTACCGCTGCTTCTTTGGTTTCCGCTTCATGCCCTGCTACATACCAAGCAGGAAATACGTAATCGTCGTAGTCTCATCTTTGCGGTACAACTTCACCATCTTCGCGCGGTTCCTCCAGTGTGGCGAAACGATCGCGATCCAGCGTCAACAACGTGAATTAAGCCTAAACTCGTACTGGACGTTGCCACGTGCTCCGAGCGACTCCTAGATCTTGGCGAGAATGGCCGCGAGCTGCAGACGCCAAGAAATCTCGCACCTGATGCTCCAAGAGAAAAACGAGAAAACGTCCGCCTCTAGTATATAGATAAATGTAAACACCTCCTGGGTTTTCCGCCACTGCCGAAATCGCTTCGGCAGCAGCGCTTTTGTTTGCAAGTGTAAACGCACCATTAGGCTTGAATCACAGGGTGCGATTCTGGTTGCGGCTTCTGAGTTGCGACATCGCTCGGGTGGCAAAAATCCGTAATAGAGGCTGCGGGGCTTAATGCCGCAGGTACGAAATCGCAGGATAATCGCATCATGTGAATCTGACTTTATGGCGGGTTTTCACTTGCGGTCTCGCGGGCGGATCCGCTCAGGTGGAAAGTAAATTTTGGAGCCGGTTGGCGCCAACCTGCAATGCTGTTTGGTTTGGCGCCATCTGGCGACTAAAGCAAAAAATATTGGGTACCCCTTGGAGTGGCGGCTGCATTGTTCAAACGTGAGCTTTCTCTCTGGTGGCGCCGCTTAGCCTAGTGTCTGAAGTAAGAAATACTGGGTATCCCAGGAAGCTGTGTTCGCGTAACGTGCCAGTAGAGCGGAAGCTACGGCCCTGGCGGGCCAATCGGAACGTGACTGCCTATCACCGGAGCGCGCCTCAACTCCGGAGAGGTATCGGGCTTTTCGCAGCGTCATGCTCCAATATGTGCGCGTTGCGCTCGTATACGTCGCGCATTTCGAAGCCTTCGGCACGCAATGTGGGGCTTATCGTTCACCCTTTGCCAAGTTACAATGAGGCAAGGTATAGCCGTGTGCTCTCACCCTGCTGGCGCCGCCTGGCCATTGCCGGCTGAGTCGTCGCTGGGAGAAAATCTGGATTGGTTCGGGACCCATATCCGCATTTTCCGCCAGCGACGATTCGAATTTGCCACCCGGCTCCAAAATCCACTTTCCGCCCTGCGCGTATCCGCCCGCTCACCAGCAAGCGCAAACGCGCCATTAGTCGTTGATTTTTCGTTTAGCTCGTGACTATTCAGACGTGCTACTAATTTTAAAACAACGATATCCTTTGTTTCACCGTATGTCTGGAAGCAGTGGACGCTATGAGCTGATGGTACCTATCAGACATGATTGGTTGAGCGATAATAAAATACGCACAGAGACACGAGGAACACCGTGTTGGTGAGCTTTCCGCGCTGTATGATGACGTCAGCTGCGTCCGAACTTCAGGTGAAACGAAGTATACTTAGTCTAAGCTCGTGAATCCTAAGCTGAGAGTGCTGTTCGAGCTACGCGCTTGCCAGAGCAATCACTTCCCCCCCTCTCCCCCTTTCATCACCTGACCTCGCTCTCTGCGCCTGCGTATGGACGGAAAGTGATCACGGGGCGAGAGATTGGCGTATGATTGGTCCCACGATCGCGGAGCTTCCACTGCACTGTCAGCTTAGGGGTGAACGGAGTATATGTGTAAATGGGCTGGATTTCTTCAGAAGTGTCAGGTTCCAGTGTGACGAAAGTAGGCAATGTAGAAGCATACAAAGAAAAGGCATTCCTGGTCACAATCAATCATACGTACTCATAATTATAGTCGGTGATTGCTTAAGAGTTCAGGTGAAGCTCCTCAAACCGCCTTCTACTTTTATAGAGCGAACGCTGGAGAGGAGGTCGCCTTCTCTCTAGCGTTCGGTCGGATAGAGAGGAAAGAGGTGGGAAGAGCTTCCTCTGAACTCTAAACCGGTCAACGACTACAGGTGTAATTAATAGTTAGAGTTAGATTATTTGACTCCGCTAGTTTAGCTGTAATTAATAATAGAGCTAGATTATTTAACACCACTAGTTTATTTTTGATCACTAATTCCACCCGTGGCACTTGTAGCGATCATGCGTTAAGGGTACCATTGCACAGAGTACCTTTAAAAAATAACAAATTATATTCTTCATTGATAGTACAGTCATGTGCCGGTATCATGTATTTTCACAAAATGAGACTCGATGCAACGGGAAGAGCACCGCTGACTTCCATCAGCAACACGCCCGAAACTTGCGCGTTGATTGTATATTCTCTTTTTGTATACAAAACTTCCGAACCTTTTCAATCTTGAGGAAACCTATTTCATCCAACGACTTTCAAATAGCGTTGAGCACTGTCACACGTTTATTTCAAAAAAATATCTCCACGGCCAGGTCCCAGGGGTACATCAGCGTGCCATTGTTTTTCTGAAAATTTACACAGCAGTGGAACTTCCTTTACGTATTATTCGTGTTTTTCAAAGCATCTACAGTCTGCGAGGAGCTGCTCGGCCACAGCGAGTGAATCGGGTGCGGTGCACACCCCAGAACGGATTTTTGTTTCGGCTAAACAACACGCACGGCTGGTGAATGTGCAAAAAGGCAGGGTCCGTCCACTCTAACAAAATACACACAGAGGACCTTCCATTTATGTTTGTTAGCAGTGCAAGCAATTCCTCCATTTTAGCAGCCACTCGATATATATATATATATATATATATATATATATATATATATATTATAAAATGACGGTTTATTTGTTTGGATCACTGAATATTTGCGGAGCTTAGAAACTTCCTAGCTTCGACTCACTGCCTTCAAGTATCGAGCCGGCATCAATACTTCCCTCGCTTTCAGGGAGAAGAAAGTCGAGGGAAGGAAAAGGAGCTAAAACTTTGGTCGAACGGTTGTGACTACACTCTTTTTCTGTGAGGATGTGAAGTACAGTCGTGTGCAGGTCCTCTTACCCTGCCGTTTTCACAAAGCTGAAAAACGGTAATATGGCGGAGCATTGCTTTGGTGAAGCACCGCTCTGCCCAACTTGCTCACTTCGACTGACTCATCTGGCGCCAGTGTGGCCGTAACCCCACTAATCGGTCAACTCCGTTTATGCTCCTCGCCGATGCGTTAAGGACATTTCAGTGGTTCTAGAGTAATCTATGGTTTCTCGCGAAAGACGCTGCTCCATAAGGTGTGCTGCATGCTGCTGTGCTCTTCAGGCGCCCCGTTGCGGCATCGTGGTGTTTCTCTTGCTGGTTTGGCCGTCAATGCTTGATGGATTCCTTTCCAGGGTACTCCTTAACTGCCACGACCTTGGCGTTGGGTTTCCGGTTTTTGTAGTAGCAATACTCGATGGCTAGCGTGATGCAAGCCATCACGACGCCAATAAAAATCACGATGAATACGCCGCCTAGGAAAGAAAGAAACAACCGTTATTAGATACATTTGCTATTCGCTATTCCAGACCATGCAAAATGCACCGAGGATAAGTTCTAAACCATAATGTCAAACTGTTCCGAGAGCCTCGCACCAGTTCGCCCTCGTGTACCAATATTGTGGTCTGGAATGAGGGCGTAGAAACACCTATGGCCAGAAATTTGTGACAGTCGTTTCTAGTTCACTTATCTGTCCCCACGTTGCGTATTCGCCTTTAATTTTTACGCCGTGTTGCAAATTCCCGCCAAAGAGTAGTGTGTGCAAGTAAAAAAAAAAAAAATCTGTAACATCGAAGATAAAAAGGGATGATATAATGAGTGCCTTGCGGTAGCAACATAGTGACAAATTTATCATTCTCCCTTTCGATTTTATGGATATACTACTATCAAAGGAAGAATATTCTAAAAAATTTCGCAGAAGTCATCGCATGCATATCTGTAGTATAGTTTATTTGTCTTGGAGTGCGATATAGTTAAGTTCCCTTCAGAGATAACAGTGCTATGAGTGAGTATAGGGTATCAAACACACGCCACTATTAGTGATTGATTGCGTTCAGGACGTATCTTAGGGTGGCTTTTCACCTTATGCACTCCAGGAACATAATTTGCTACGTGTTGATTTATATCCGCTTTCCGCCTGGTGCAGTGTTGTCAACAGTAAAAAGAGCGGACAAATTAAGAACGGAAAATATACGTTTAATAATGCGAACTTGTGCCTACAAGTTAAAGAGAAAAGTGCCACGCATCCTGCGTCGGCGATGGAAGGGTGACTGTTCCGAAGCAGCCCGTTACCGCTACTTTTATACACGCGACACGTTCAGGAATGATCTAAACAAAAACACTCGATGACAGCCGAGAATGGGCTGGGATTTCTTGGAAGAGTACATATTGAATGAAATAAGAATCCGGGCAGAGTGGGATTCGAACCCCACTCCACTGCGTGACAGCCACAATACGTTGCTAACTCCGCCACGCACGCGGCAATATCGTGTATAGCCCAACGCACTGATTTCAAAGAAGCCCGCTTTGCCCGGGTATGGGCATCGCGCGTGCGCACCTCCAGATTCGAATGCTAGGAACCGTCTGTAGACGCGCACTGCCGTCAGCGGCGCCACCGCTGGGGCGTCACGTCCGAGAGTTGAGTTGGTCGATATTCTCCCCTTAAGCTGCCACGCAGCCGACGCTCGGAGCTGATGGGACCAATCAGACAGTTTTTAAGGCGCACCGTCATGATATTCGTCGTGTTTCTGTATGCGTTCTGTCGTCGCCGAACCAATCGTAAACAGGAACGGCTCAGTGACTTGCGCTTTTAACGCTGCTTGACGCGCCGTTCCTGTCAAACTTCTATCAAAAGCTTATTCGATTGAGGATCTTGATATTTTTTAACCCTGGAGAGTGGGAAAACAGCAGGATAGGACAAAGATTCGCGTTGTCCTGTCGTTCTTTCCCCCTTTCTCGAGGGTTAAACATGGCAGTTCTTTAAAAAAAAAAAAAAAAAAAAAATTAAAAAAAAAGAGAAAAAAAGAAAACGAGTGAAAGGTGAATTTTAAAGTATTTTATTTATCCCGTGAATCTGAACATCACGTTCGTTTTCCCCGAAGATGTAATTAAACGCGTGGAAACAGGAAAAACCTCCGACCAGACGTTACGCCATAAATGGATCGTTCGGCCGCCAAGCACGTGTCACTCGTGCGGGCAGTGCGTGCAATTGCAAGCTTGCCAGGTATCTTCCCCGGACTGACACCCGTCGTGACGTCTCTTTCTTACCTTTTTGAAAATAGTGAGAGTGCGCGTGCATTTAGCTTTGATAGGTGCTAAAGATGCGCGAGAGCAGAGATTCCGAAAACTCCTCTTATGACGTAACGCTCTGGGATGGAGGAACTTTAGCGCAACTTTGAAGTTTATTTTCTGCAGCCTCCGTGCACCAAATTAAGGAGAAGAAAAAAAAAAAAATCTCGATATTTGTGATCCTGGAGGCCAAATGAAGACAATTTATGTATTTTTAGTCAAATACGAAACCGCTTCAGCTTCTTTTTCCCAACTCGCCTGAATCCTTGCATTAACTCGGGAACCTGCAGTTTACAAGTCATCATCTTGGAATTTCGGCACAAGAATAGCGGCAAGAATAGCGGTATATATTAGAATAGAGTAGTATCATGGCAAATTGTTCAAAGCGTAACGTTTTGGTGTTATGGCCATGTTCGTATATTAAATACATGGGCTTCTATGGGAGCGCTGCCGTAGCCATCGAAGAGATGGCACAAGCATGATACAATGTCACAAATTTCTGGGGATGTGCTTGGAGAGGTGCAGGTCTCTGCTTTCCGCAGTGTTCGCGCGTTGGACGCGCTCGCCTGGCAAAGTGGCGAACGTCCCGGACGGTGCACATTAGATGCGGAGACGTTGAAATTGTGTATTGAGGGCGAGTTAGGTGTTTGAATAAAATTACTACGCCGCGGCGAGAGTGCGGCTCATTGGTTGCGTTCTGTTATGCTCATGTTTTGAGTCTATCTGTTTTTGCCCACTGACTGGGGGCTGAAGCTACGAGCCGTCCGCCCCAAATCCCGGGTTCCTAAGGCCACTGTGGCGGGGAATCGGTGCTCGTAGCTTTGGTTCTCAGGTGAAGCAAAATTGTGTTTCTCGGTAGACAGACAAAACCCTTCACAAAAAAAAAAAGGAATCTTTTAGTGTGTAACATGAGTAATACGTGAGAAGACGTGGGGCTGAGTAGCGGAAATATGCTGGCTAAAGCAGCACTCTTATAGGAATTGGAAAAGGAGCGCGTTCACGTACCGATGTTTCTGATGCTGATGCCATCGCTCTGGCGTTCGCTGTCATCGCAGGTCACCCTCGCTGGGTTCTTGTTCCACCACGTCTCTTTAAGGCCCTCCAGACGACGTTGGTTCAGTAACTTGAGGATTCTGATTAGGAGAGCTTGTTTAGTAGCACTTTTCTTGTCGCTCTGTTTAACGAACTTTGAGATGAAAGCTCGACGTGGGCGAAAGAGAGAAAATGACCATCAAAATGTTTCCTCTGCTGAATGCACAAGTTTGGCTCGTAAACTTGTAAAAACCACAATGAAACTGTTCTAGAGTTTCCCGTTATGTGGGTTATCACAGTGGATATTTGTATGCAGGCTACAAAAGGAGAGGGGGGCAGATGCATTGGTTTGTATCAGGGTAAAAAAAAAAAAAAAGATAATGGTTTAAGTTCGTCTTCACCAAAAATGTGAAGGGGGTCGAGCTTAGTGAGAGGAACTTGAACGGAAAAGACTTCTCTCGGAAGCCTAAAGCGCGATCCAAACCAACGCTTCTTTTTGCGCCTGTAGGTCGTGCGGCTGCGGATGTGACGCATTTCCTGACGTTTTTGCTGTTTCCGGGCGCGCTTTCTGAGTCAGAACCGTGCGCTTTGGTTTGGACGGGCCAGCTTCGGGCGAGCGCGCACGCACGCAACAGACTGGCCGGCCAGGCCAGTCTGTCGCAGCCAGAAGGCGGCGAGAGAGAGAGAGAGAGAGATCGCATTGTTATGTTGGAAGAGAATAAAAGTGGGGGGAGGAGATGGATGCGCACCGGGCGCTTTTGTCACTTGCTCTGAGAAGGCGGCGAAGAAACGCGGAGCCGGAACTAGCTTGCCCTCCACCGATCGGCCGGGACACAGGAGCGCCCTAGACGTCACCGCGCGTTTTTGTGCGCGTTGAGAAAGAAGTTGAAATTATCCAACTTTTTTGCGCGCGCCCGGAAGGAGCGAAGAAGTGGCGCGACGTCACGAAAATACGTCACATCCGCAGCCGCACGACCTACAGGCGCAAAAAGAAGCGTTGGTTTGGATCGCGCTTAGAGTAGCAACCGCTGCGCTGAGGCGGGAGACTTCTTTTCATGTATGTTCCCGCTAAGTGAACGGAGAGCCAATCAAGGGGAACCAAATATCAGAGCAGTCTCCCTCCACCGACCTATGAATTATTCTTCTTTTTTGAACCGATCAGTCGAGTCTAGAGTAATTTCCCCACGGCCTCGCCAACGCTGCCAAAGGGTTTAACTCTCTGAAGCAAGTAAGGAGGACACACAAAGAGCACCGTGGTCCCACGGAAAATCACCTCCTCGGTTCTGAACATAACGTGGGGCTCGCTAGATTCCCCTTTGTAGGTAGGAGGTTCGTCCCTCCACGTATGCTTCGGGATATCCTCAAGTTGATTGCGACGAAGAGGCACCTCATACATTGTAGTCCGGCTCACCTGGATCCGACTGGTACTGGCTATAAGCGACCTTTCAGCCTACCTCAAATCAGCAGTGCATGTAAGCAGGAATTTTTTTTTTTAATTGTGTTCGTGAGAATATATATATTATTTTATTACTTAGTTCTAATAACCTGAACTGTCGATAAACAGGGTTCGTGCGTGTTCATTTTCCCAGATCACTCGCATAGCCAATTTTGAGTTTTAGTATTGCGTATACGAGCGCACGCAAGCACTGTGTTCCGCATTGCGTATTCCGTACTGCGGATGCTGAAAGACCTAACAGCGGTCTTGGATTGACTCATGGCGACGACACGCATGCGCAGCGTGGAGTACGTGATGCTAACGCAAACGCACATCGCCTCCGTGTTCTATACGCAATACTACAACTCTCTCTAGTTATTGCTATCAACGAAAGAGAGATAGTATATAGAATGACGGAACAAAATCAGCGAAGAGTCTGTTGCAGGAAGTGTCCGTGCAGAATTCTGGGCATATTAAACGTCAACCTCACTGGTGCAGCGTAATTCCTAGTCTTTACACGTCAATGAAAACTGAGTTGGTGTTTCTGTCGTTTGAAGTGTGATCAATGAGTCTACGGTATTTGTTTGCTTGTTAGTAAAAAGGTTCCCTATGTCTTGTCATTCTTTAAGCTCCTTCCGGGGAACATCTCTTTGTACTATACTTCGTTTCAGCTGTAATCCAGGCGCAGTCGATGCTACGAGCAGTGGGAACAATAAAGCAGCGTCAAAAACGCAAGTCACCGGGCCTTTTCTGTTCAAGATTGGCTCAGCGATGATACAACCCGTACGGAAACATGACAAACACGATGACGGTGCTCTTTTGAAGCTGTCTAATTGTTCTCCCTTCAGCTTGTAGCGTCGGCTACTTCTGGACGTAAGATGAAAAGAAGAACAGCAGATTCTACTGAATTTTGTTGGAACGCAGACGTACGAATTTCACTGCGAAGCGCTGCGTGCTATTATTGAGTCAATGCAGTAAATATTCACTATTTTTGGGTACAGATCATGGACGCAGAGTATACGTACGCGCTGGACAGTTGGTCCTTGAGGGGCGAGTTCTGCTGAACTGCGAGGGCTAGCGGCTTCCGGCTGAACTCGCTGCCCACCGACACGAGGTCGCAGTTGGTCATTGTGGCATACTTCACCTGGGTTGAGTCCGCTACAAGCACAATGAAGTTTCAGAAATAAGTGCCCGAAGATAATAATTTTGCCCTCGGTCTTTGATCTACCTTTTTAAACAGTTATCTCCTTATGTCATACAATCAGTCAATCATTAGACGCCGGACGAGATGGTGATTCTTTCATAGCGGCAGGCGGCCAATGAGATAGAGGCCGTTAAGAAGGCCGAAGACCGAATCAAGAAGCGTGAACATACTGAGCCATGCCTTATGGTGACATGCTCAACCAAAAGCGATGCTGTGGTCGACCGACCACGATTGGCCAAGTGTAGTAATCATTCTGCCTTTACCTACGCATATAAGATCAATGCCAGACTGACATCTTTGAGAATGCGATGACTCCAGGCTTCCACCGTGCTTTTTATACACACCACCAACAACTGATACTCCTGGTCGTGACGTCACGGGTAAGAACCTTAGGAGGGCGCCACCGAGACATCTCACCACTAGGTTGCTGTGTCTTTGCGCGGACTACATTCCCTTCTAATTTCTTAGACTGAAGTCTATCTTTACATATGAACATACAAGATTTGGCTACTAAATAATGCGACTCATCTTAAAGAAACACACACAATTGTAATGTCTTCTTCTATGTACTCCCCTCCCCTGTCTTTGCACCGCTCCATGCGAATATTTCATTGCTGGCATCAATAGAGTAAAACCTTGTTCCTTTCAACCCAGACTTGTTTTGGGGGAATAGGAAAAAGTCCGATGGCGCCAGGTCAGGTGACTATGGCGGATGCTATGCTGCGCCAGGAACGACACGACTGACGAGGCTTTGTGTGTTGCGCGTTTTCTTGATGAAGGATCCATGATTGTTCCTACAGATTTCAGGCCATATCATTTCTGGCTCAGCATAGCATCACTGTGTTAGAGCATTCGGCGTACTCACCCAACCTGGCCCCATCTGACTTTTTGCTATTCGCCAAGATGAAGCCTGGTTTGTTAGGAACGAGGTTTGACTATGTTGTGAAGACAAAAGCGACGCGAGCACACCAAGGGCTTGATGACCTACATCACTACTTTCAGCAATGAAAGATTCGCATGGAGCGGTCTAGGGACAGGGGAGCACATAGAAGGAAAAAACCCTACAATTGTGTAATGGTTCATTTTTTTTTAAAGATGAGTCTTGTTATTCAATACCTAAATCACGCATTGTTAAATTGAAGTGGGGTGCGCATTCCAATATGAGGATTTTTAAACTTCTTGGAGTATGTAGATCAAGTTAGGGCCATTACAAGATAAACTTAAAAATCTATTTAGTGCACCTTTATGAACAAAGTGCGTGGCCAACCAATATAATTTTTTGGTCCTTTTACACTTTGTTCAGAATTGTCTCAATGAATTGATGCAGTAATATCCTAGACCACCCTCTGATACCGCGGGACCGTGCCCTTCGATTCTTAAAAATCCCCTAAAAAGAAAACAAAAATGTTTTTTTTTTTTTTTTTTTTTTTTAACAGAGTCTGGGTTGGACACGCGTGACAAAAAGTAAATTTGACGCGGAAAAATATTTTGAGAGCAATATTGACGGTGAGAGGTTTATTTGAAATTCTGCGCGCGAAGTCCATGACGTCACGGGTCATTCCGGAATGACCATCTCGGGCATTCGCTCTTCCCACCTCAATGTGAAGACGGAGCCGATCCACCTCTCGTCCACGCACCCGAAATGCCGAGAGAAAACAAGTGGAAAGGAGGGGACTGCCGACTAAATCGTGTCTCGCGCCGTTAATACTGTTCTAAAAAAATGTTTTTTTTTTTTTTTCGCGTAAAATTAATTTTTTTTTCCCACGCGTGTCCCCCCAGACTTAATATTTCTTTTTTTTTTTCTTTCAGGGACCTTTTAGGTGAACCATCTGAGCAACACTTACTTTTGCGTCCCAACGGTATCAGTGACTTACCGATGAAGGCGAAACCCTCCTGAGAGCCTTTGGATGCCTTGACTCTCCTGACCCCTTCGTCGAATTCCTCAGGCATCATGGCTTCTTTCATGGTCCACCAGATCTTGGTGTATTTGTCGCTAACCGGGTAGTCCCAGACGGCCAGTTTGGCCCGGTCCTCGTCGCTCAGAGTGTCATCCAGCGACATGTTCTTCCAGATGCTGAAATGAAAGGCCACTTAACAGGTCAGGACTCCTCGCCTGTTTGTTGCGTACATTCTAAAATAATGGCCGGGCGTCTGCTTTAATATATAGCACCGGAAGAGCTAATTATTGCGACTCACAGAGGGAGCTTAGGTAAGGACAAGGTGCGATGAGCGATAACACGAACTCAACTCTCCTACGTCACGCCGCGGTGGTGGCGCGCAGGACGCACTTCCGGTCTGGGGCGGTGGGCAGAAGTCGCCGTGCCAGACATGCATTCCTGTGTTCCCTTGGAAGAAACGAGACAAAAAACCTGTCTTCTCGTCAAAATGCTGCAATGGGGGCTGTACCAAGAGAGTCTGGAAAGGTTTGAAGATCAGTTTTCATGTGTTTCTGCCCCCTCCGTTTGTCCGAGAACGTGGATAGTAGCCGTGAAAAGGGCAAACCAGACGCTGTCGAACTACGATTGCGTGTGAGGGCAGCACTTTGTGGTCGCCAGATGTATTTGCTTTGTTCCAACATGAACGAGAGAAAACCACCAAGTTGTCCGGACCACCCACGGGTTCAGTGCGTCTTCAAATTCACACGGCCGCCTGATCGTTCGAACTTTCGTCTGCTCTTTCAAACTTGTCTGCTTTTTGTCGTCTGCTCGTTCAAACAAAAGCGGCCCGTAGACCAAAGTTTGACTCGGTGATTGCAATAAAAAGTAATTGCAGGCCTCAAAAGACTTAAGTAGGCTCGGTGTAAACAGTAGATACAAGATGTTGATCATTGGTACCGGTGACCACAACCGACTTGTTACGCTTGGTCTGTTCCCGCTTCCGATTTTCAGTATCGACGTCGATCATCGCCGCTACCTTCTAGACTTCTGCAGCACGAGCGACGTCGCAACCGAAAATAGCTAGAAGAATCTCATCATGGTTTTGGCATCCATTCTGCGGCGTTCATGCAAATGAATCACCGCACGTCAAATCATTTACGGAAAGTTTAGCGGCGTAACGAGCCTTGATAATTTCGCTCAGGCGATTAAAGTGGTAAGAAATTGCGATGAGGACGTAGAATTGACAATCCCAACGCGAAAAAGGGTATGCGGACTCACACAGACGCCGACAACGTGACATTCGAATGGTTTGTTGACGCGGGACGCGGTGCTTCTTTCCCTTACTCCATTGCGCATGCGTTCGAACTGTCGTCTGCTCTTTCAAACTTGGCTGCTTTTTGTCGTCAGCTCGTTCAAACGACAGCGGCTCGTAAACCAAACGCTGACCCGGTAATTGCGATAAGAACAAAGCGCAGGCCTCAAAACACTTTTGAAGGATGGTTGGGGTAAGTATAGGCTAAGTGTAAACAGATACTAGAAGATGTTGATCATTGTTATCAGTGGCCATCACCGACTTGCAATGCCCGATTCTACTTGCGGTTTTCAGTATCGACGTCCACCATCTCAGCTACGGTCCACGATTTTGCAGTCCGAGCGATGTCGCGACTGAAAATAGCGAGCAGACTCTCATCGTGGGAGTCCGGCTTTAGCGCTAATTCTGCGGCGTCCACGTGAAATGAATCGCCGCACGTCACATTATTCACGCAAAGTTTTGCCTCGTTAGTTTTGCTGAAGCCGCTCAAGTAGTCAGATATTGTTAGGAGGACGTAGAATCAACAATTCCAACGCGAAAAAGAGCACGGGGACTCCCTCCGACGCCGACAACAACGCAATTCGATGATTTGTTTATGGGCGACGGCAGGCTTCTTGCCCACCATCCACCGCGCATGCGCGGCGCTGGTGGCGTCCGCTAGGGGCGCTCCGGTTTGTTTGTAAACAGGAGTTGGTGTATAAATAATGGGGCGAATATATGATAAAAATATGTTAATAGACGGCTTAAACTACTTGGAACTCTACTTTGTCCATCATGGAACATCGCCGAATATTACAAGACGCCACTGGCAATTGATTTCCTGCTAACAGTGTTGTAGGCGTTAGCGAAGAAAAGTAACAGCATACGTTACCCGTTACTTGCGAATAAAAGGGACGCTTTGCCGACCTACGTTACCTCAAAATAAAAGCAACACGTTACCATTACCGTTACCGATAAGAAGTAACGGACTTTAATTATGAATATAAACGTTTTACTGTTTTTAAGTTATACGTGTGCATAAGCGCCTTGATTTCAAGAAACATTGTGTCCACTCAGAAACCTAGCATATTTACCTTATGGTGTTTAAGGTTCAGATTTCGAGGGTATGTGAGACGAGTGCAGCAATGCATACGAGTTGGCACCTAAAAACACAAAACAAATTTTTGTGTATTTAAAAAAAAAGATATAACGAGTAACACATTTACGTTAGCCTTTAATCGAAATAATTAACTTATGTACGTTATCATTACTTTTTTGAAGGCAACGGGTGCATTGCTACGTTAGCAAAAAAGTAACGCGTTACAGATAACAAGTAACGCGTTACCGCCAACACTGCCCGCTAATGACTCGCAAAAAATATCAAAACAGAAATTAGGAGCACCACTCACGCTTGGTGCTTTCACTACTCACCGAGTGAGTTGGCCTTTTCTTAGCGATGGCGTATTAGATTAGTGGCCTGAATTTCATCTAACTCAGGCGTCTCCAAACTTTTTGACTAAGGGACCACATTAGGTATCAGTCGCAGTTTCGAGAGCCAGGCTGAAGGAGTAATTATAAACGAGGAAATACTCAATAAAAAAGGAAGATCCATTGATGGATCGTTCGGGAATATGTTAGCATGACCCGTAGGAATCGCCAGCGGCATCCGCTGCCTGACGCTCGTTGTTCACCGGTTTCGGCACCCGGTCTCCTTCGCTCGCAGTCAGTCTTCTTTCGCCGCCTACTTGGACCAGCGCTAGTACTGGGTTCCCACTTTGTAGCACAAGGCATACGCGTTCCGCACACCTCCAAGACTCGCCCCAGCATTGGCTTCCGCAACCGGAGCCGTCGCCTTCCTCTCGCCTTTCTCCTTCTCCCCTCCTCTCAACGCGTTTCCCTTCCCACTGTTTTGTGTCCACAGACGGACGCCGTCAGCTTTTTCCTCTCATGCGGGTACTAATGCTAAAAAAAAGCAGTAATAAATCTAGACAAACATTTAAACACAGAAATGATTGTTAGAGTAAGTATTAAAAAAGACCCTAAGCTGGATAATTACATATACCAATTTCCTTTTTTGTATTTAGCTATCTGCGACATTACACACCACTTGTGACCAAGAAAACTCACCAGGCATAAATCAAAGCGCATGGGAACTTTGGCACGTTCGAGCAGTGCAAAAGACTAATGAGAATGATAACACTAATGCTGACAATATACAATGTTTGTGACAGAGGACACTAAGCACAATGTAAATGAGAACGCAAAGTACACAGATACAAAGCAGGTGACTACGAATGGTGATGCTGAAGATGACATTGTTAAATTAATCCGAGTACCACGACTGAAGACATGTTCGCGCAAATCATGGCGGGAGAGAATACTATAATAACCGAACTGGTACCCCTCAGAAATCAACAGAGTTCGACAGACTCCAAGGCCAATGAATGGCGTACAAAATTGTCCGATGTTGTCAAGTTAGTGCAGGCACTTACGGTGAAAACAGAAAAAAATCCAAGTGCTTGAACGCACCATTTTAACCCTTGAGGATGCCCTTAGTCCACAAAACCGTAAAATCGCCAATTTTGAAGATCAAAGCCGTCGCTCCAATCTTCTTGTATATGGAATCCCTTAAACAGATACAGAAACTGAGCTGAGTTTGAGACGTTCTCTGTGTCTGTTCCTTCTACTGAAAGTTCTTCCGATTTCTTCCACCGCAGTCTCAGGTGTAATACGACATGATTAGCTACCACCAGCTCGCCTGCACTCTCACCGTCTTTTCACAGAAACCGAGTCCCAATTAAGGAGCAAAGTGATATCTGAAGTCTGAGCAAAGGCTTGGAGTGAAATTTGCTTCGATCGCCAGATTAGACCGCCTTCCGAAAACCACGTGCCGATTACTAGAAGGTCGGAAACACTGCTCAATGGCAGTACAGCAGACATCGATGAACAGGCAAGTCATGCCATAAGATAGCGAACGTCGGAGCGCAGCCAACACTACGAGCCTACGAGCCAATGAAACAGCGTCAAAAGTGCAACGTCACTGCACTCATCACATTTTTTTTGTGGGTGTGTTTTTTGCAGTGTGCCATGACATTGAAGTTGAAGTCCGCCACTGTGCCGGGATTCCACAGCTGCCAACAGAGGTGAGTATTTCGAAAGGAAAGAATACATCGGCTCGGAAGAAGTAGCGGCCGAAGACCGGTCGTTCTGTTTTTTCAGGATTATAAGGATTATAGGGAAAAACAAGCTGTACTTCACAATGTAAAGAAATTAAAGGGAACGACTATTTACATAAGGAATGACTATTCGCAATACATTCTGTCCAAACGAAGATTTCTCTGGGAAAGTGCAAAAGCCGATAAGACAGCAGGGGAAAAGGTACCTCTTTCTAACCACAAACTGCGAGTCAATGATGACTAGTATGTTTGGGACGACATAAAGCACGTGCGTGTCAAACTTTCCGCTCTGTCATTGCCCGATCCACCGAATCGACAACCAGGAAGCCCACATGCTAAACAACTTTATGTGTTAAACGTAAATGCTCGAAGCATAGTGACCAAAGTTGAACACCTTGAGTCGCTGTTGTTAACCCATGATCCCCATATTACAGTGATTTCTGAGACATGGCTTTGTGACCACATTGGTGATGATAGCAGCATTCCTGCAGCTCATAAAATATTTAGGAGAGACCGCCCACCACGTGGCGGGGGTGTAGCTGTTGTGTTCAAGGAAAATGTCGATGTCGTGCTTTTGGACCAAATAGATGAACATTACAGATTGTGCTTGAAAGTTAAGATATGGGGTAATACATTCATATCGTATGATGTATACAGACCTCCAAATTTTCATCCTGAATTTCTGCATAAATTGTACAACCATTTATCGTCTCACCTCAACAATAAAAAAAAAATATTGTTGATGACTTTAGCCTTCCCAATATTGATTGGGTGAAACTGTCACTTGGCTCCCGTGAAAACACTGACATTATTTTTGACACCATGTTTGCTTTGGACCTCTTGCAGGTTGTCAGTGTGGTCACACATGAGCACGGATCTAGTGGTTCTATTATGGACCTAGTTTTTATTAGTCGGTGTATTACAGAATATACAGTTTCGGTTGAGAAGGGTCTTTCTGACCACAAACTGTTAATTTTCGTTGCACATTACCCATCTAGTCAACCAACAAAAGAAGCTAAAGTTAAGATGGCAAAGAGTTTTCTCCGTTCTAATGATAATTCTATCATCCTTCATTTAGAAGACACACTAGACAACTTTAATGACTCTGATGTTAATATTTCCTGGAATAAGTTCAGACGAGCATGCAATTACTACTTTGATACATTTGTTCCCGGTGTACGTAAACGTGTCGAACGTTGCAACCCATCGATCAATCAAACAATAATCCATTAAAACGTAGAATCAAGCGGCTCAGAAAAAAGGGGAACCGAAATAAAGCTCAAATTCCGGAACTTCAAAGTGAATTACCGACGCACGTACAACAGGCGAGACAACGTTACTTTTCATCCACGCCTTCCTGACTTCATGAAAAACGACCCAGATAAATTTTAGAGGTATCTTGGCAACAAACAAAAGTCAATTGATAAGATTAAAGTAAATGACGTTTTGATTTCCGATCACGGTGAAATTGCTGAGCAGTTCAATCGGTACTTTCAGTCGGTCTTTTCTGCCCCTGATGTGCCTGAGTAAGTATGATGACATCTCTTCTTTTTTTACTGCTGACTTTACATCGTCTCATGGCGTACTTTAGATGTTGTTAAACCTAGAAGTAAAAAAGTCGTGCGGCCCAGATGGCATACCGAATTGATTTTTGCGCGGGTACGCAGAAATCACGGCAAAGTTTTTGACTATGATCTTTCGTGTTTATTTTTCCTCGGGTGTGTTGCCAAATGACTGGCTCACAGCACGTGTAATACCAGTCTTCAAAAAAGGGGACCCGTTATCACCAACTAATTACTGACTTATCTCTTTAACATGCATAAGTTGTAAATTCTTAGAGCACACCATTAGTAAGATTATTAGAGAACATTTAAGTAAAACTAATTTGCAGACGTAGTTTCATACGGATTTAGAAAAGGCCTTTCAACCAATACACAATTACTAACTACCATTCATGAGTTTGCACAAGCACTGGATAAGGCAGGCCAGGTACACTCTTAATTTCGTTCCACATGGGTTCCACATATTCTATGTGGAACTTCCACATATTTTATGTGGATCAAAAGATTTATGCGGAACGCCGGTTTTCTTCGCTTCGCTTTTGCTTTTTTAAAGAGGAACCGCAGGTCTTATGCGGATCAGCCAGCCGTTCCACTGACCCTGCTGCACTTTCGCGCCAATCTGTTCCAGTTAAGACCTCCAGAAAGTGTATTGTCGTGTTCTTTTTAACTTTTATCGCGTTCTAGTTAGAATCCTTTGGCGGCAAATACGCGCAGGCCGAGCAAAAACGAGACAAATAAACCAAGAAGAAATACACACCAACGGAGGCGGCCAGCGTTCAGAGGGGAGCCGGCAAAAGCAGCAAAGCACATACAAAAAAGGGAACCTGATGACCACGTTCTTCCTCTAAGAGAATAGTTCCAGTGAAAGCCCTTGCTTTGTTTAGGAGTTCCTGTGGTACGATTCGAGCGGTTCGAGAGTTCTGAAAGCGGGCATCGCGCATTGTTACAGAGTGAGGAACGTGTTGCCGCATGCAGCACGTCCGCGCACCCGCGCAGACGCACGGAATCGCGCGCGAAACTCCGTTTTCGATTTTGTCCCGCGCGCGCGGGACTTTGCACTAAGCAATGCAAAGTTTTGCACTGCTTAGGGTCACAGCGCAGACTTCGTTTTTCGATCTGAACATATGTTTCGGCATCGTCATTCGCTGAGCTGCCTCCATAAATTCCAGTGATTGGCTTTCTGAATGTTTTGCGGGAAAGTAGACGCACAGGCTTTTTTAGGAGCGTGGAACAGTGTTCTACATAAAATCCTTTCAAATGTATGTGGAACAGCTTCCCAGGTGTCATTATGTGGAGGCTGTTCCACATACTACCCTAAAAACTTATCTGAAACACTGTTTCACATAAAAAATTTCAAATTATATGTGGAACAGCTTTCGAAATGTCATCATGTGGAGCACCGTTCCACATGCTGCCCTGAAAGCTTACCTGAAACACTGTTCCAGATATACTATGGAGTACCTGGAACACTGTTCCTGATAAGTAAGCGGAAAAGTTTTGCAATGGTGTTCCACTTATAAGTGGCCCATTAAGTGGAATGAGATTAAGAGTTTAGACGTTATCTTTTTAGACTTCAGTAAAGCATTTGATAGGGTTCCGCAAGGCAAACTAATATCAAAACTGCATAGTGTAGGTCTTCCTTCGGTAATCGCTAACTCGGTTCGCTCATACTTATTACATAGGAAACAATTCGTCGACGTAGGGGGTTGTTCGGAAACACTGGATGTAACGTCAGAAGTATCACTAGGCAGCGTATTAGGGCCATTACTATTTTTAATATATGTAAATAATATCGGTGACGCAGTTGATCCTTGTATAAGTATATATATATATAAGATTATTTGCGGTTGACTGTGTGTTATTCAAAAGTATAGCTTTATCATCCGATCAATGCTTACTTAACTCAGGTCTTGGTGCGATTCAAGACTGGTGTGACCTGAGGGATATGCATGAGGTTAAATCTGGACCAAAGAGTTTTTTTTACGTGTTACAAATTAAAAAAAAAGAAAAAAACGCTTGTGTTTTCCCATTCACTTATTGACTTCCTCATTTTCGAAGTTGATAAATTGAAATACCTTGGTGTTATCATCACTGGAACTCTGAGTTGGTCGGATCACGTGAATAAAAAAGTTTCCTCGGGAGCCTTCCGCAAGCTTAGTTTTGTACGGCATAAACTTAAGAACGCCCCTCCAAACGTTAAATTGTTAGCTTACATTTCTCTCATTCGACCCAAACTCGAATATTGTTCCACAATGTGGGATCCATCTACAAAAAAAAAAAAAAAAAAAAAAAACCCAAAAAACAAACAGAACATTCCGACATTCTAGAAAAAGTTCAAAGATGGGCTGTTCGCTTTGCTTATGGTAAATTGAAATGTAGACAAACAAGATACCTACCCTCCAACACCGACGTAAGATTGCCCGTTTAAAGTTTTTACACCAACTTGTCAATTCTAAGGTTTCTCTAATGTCCTGTTCTTAGGTTAGTCCACTTTCAACCAAACGAACAATACACCATCACCGATACTCTTTAACGCCCTATTTCGCACGTACTAATAGACCGACACGGCTGTTTCCAGACAAGCGCAGAAACCGAATTCACGTGTAGTGAAGCGTCTGCTCATGCGCAGTGCTGTCGACAGCGCCACCGCAGCTGCGTGACGTCAGGGCCGTGTGTTGGTCAGGACAATAAATGCGTGGCATTCTTTGCACCTGGAGCTGTTTTCATCACCTGATTTTGCATCATCATTGGAATCTTTATCTATCCCAGTGACCCTCGCAACTTCGTAGTTTCACTGTAATCTTTTTGTCAATGTATATTTTGATGGACCTTTCAGCTTTGTAGTTTCACTGTAATCTTTGTCATTGTATATTTCGATGGCTTATTGTAACTTTGTGATTTACTAGATTTTGATATATGTATATTTTGTATGTCTTGTGTTTCTGTGCAGCCGCATTTCCCCCTTCGTTTTCTTGTTCTATGTGTAAGCATTGCTTTGTGTAGCGTTATTTTTATCGGCCGCCCCGCTTGGACCTTGAAGGTCCGCAGTAATAGGACATCTCTCATTCTTTCTTTCGTTGGCGCATTTCGAGCGCGTAGCGGCACCGTTTCTTTATGCGCACTTCTCTTTGCGCGGGTAGCAGCGGGTCTGTTGAAAGCAAGCCGCGGGCCGAGCTTCATTTGAAGGACCGCGGCCAGCTGCAGGCCGGTCGGAAGACTTCCGCGGGTCGGCTCTGGCCCGTGGGCTGGGGTTTGGAGACCCCTGATAACTTATAAGAGCAAAGTGCCCAAGCCTTGACAAGACCACACGAACTCGAGAGCACGACAGTCGAAACTCACTCGTAGAACTTTTCCTCGATGTAGGCCATTCGTTCGAAGTAGGTCATAGAGGACGTGTCCTTCTGGGGAGCGTACTTGATCTTGTATTGCTTTGCCAGGTCGTCCAGAGACTCGATGGGCGAGTCCAGACGGGATACGGTCAAGAAGGCGGCCAAGTTGGCCGTGTAAGAGGCGATGATGATAAAGCCAAAGAGCCACCAGGTAGCAGCTACCAGACGCCCAGACAAGTTGCGAGGTGCCTCGCCACCGCCTGCGACCAGAGACCCCCAATCACCATTCCCAATTCTATTTGAATGACATATTTTGATTACTTTTCTGGATCTATTAAGTTGTGATTTTTTCTAAAAATTCCAGTTGCCTGTTCGTTTTCCAACTGATTTATTTAATAAATTTGTAGAACAGCTTGCTCGCACTAATGTGAACGTCTACAAGGGCGCAGGAAATACTATAAGGAGTTAATTCCAACAAAAAAATGAAAGCCGTTTACAACTCCCTGTAACGCCGAATTAGAGCGCAGCTCTTGAGGAGGAAGAGGGAAGGGTACTGAGGGTCACGTGTTCTCAAGGGGGGGGGGTCACGTGACCTGGGGGAGGGGTCACGTGACCCCCAGAGAAATTTCTCCGCCTGATTTAGCGGGGAAATGTTTCGCTAGATTTAATCGGGAAAATTTGCCGCTAGATTTAGCGGAGATATTTTTCCGCTAAATTTAGCGGGGACATTTTTCCGCTAGATTTAGCGGGGAAATTTTTACGCTAGATTTAGAGGGAAAATGTTTCCGTTAGATTTAGCGGGGAAATTTACCCATAATGCACCGCGCGGTTACGCTGACGCCGACGCCGTTCGAGCCAGAAACGGGCGCCTAAGAGCTGCGCTCTAAAAGCAACAAGCGCGGCTTTGGAAGAAGCGAAATTGAGGGTGCCTTTCTTGGTGTTCCTACTCTGCCGCCACGCACTTGTGACATCACCACTTCTGGTGTTACTTGCCGGCAGACTTGTACGTAACGCGTTACAAGTAATTGATTACTTGTAATCAATTACAGTTAAGTGTAATTTTGTAACGCTTCAATTACATTTGTCAAGCTGTAACGCTCGGAGTAATTCAATTACTTTTTTTCTGTAATCAATTACAAAATCAATTACACAATTACCAATTACATTTTTCATCCCACAATTCTTTTTTCTCACAAAAATCAGCATAGTCACTCAGCCATGGAGCAAAAATGATTGACATTTTTTTAACATCTAAAAAAAATAAAACTAGGATTAGTCGGCAAATCCTTTTTTCTTTTACGCCACGCTTTTCTACAAGCGCGCCACCAGCCTTGGCTGGGGAGTTCCGGATCTCGTTGCAGATTGCTGATAAAGTCGACGGGAAGCGGGAACTCGCTATTGACTTTTTAGTGGGCTTTGTTCCTTAGGTCGACGCGTCAGCTACACGACAAGGTCCGGGTCTGAAAACAAAAAAGGGAACAATAACCAAACAAAATTGTGTACGCAATATTTTACTGTGTATTTGTGCATTTCTGTTATCGCAATAAGAAGTAACGTGAAAGTAACTTGAAAAGTAATCAATTACTTTGCAGTAATTGTTCAATTACTTCTGGGAGGCAGTAATCAGTAACGGTAATCGGTTACTTTTTTGACTGTAGTAATTGTAATTGTAATCAGTTACTTTTTTTCAGTAACGTGTACAAGTCTGCTTGCCGGGCTCTCATGCACTATGCTCGAGCATGACATTGGCGCGTTCTCGGATATTACTCAAATAGGGTATCGACCAGCAGCGACTTTGATTACTGAAGGGGATTATCCGAATGAACACTTTTCTTCAACACTCCAATAGCTGTAATACAACCTTTCCTTTGTAAGATAAAAATAGGAAAAACGAACGATTTCTTGTTCCCGCTATTTATGTCGCGCTCCGCCAGAGTGTTTGCATGCAATAAATACTACTGTTTGCCTTGAGAACTGGCTAGACTCGTATGCTTCTACTAGTACAATTAAATTCCTTGCAACGATTAATTTAATGGAAGCTTTTTCGGCAATGGCTACACCAGCCCTCAACAAGTTTGATATGCACATGACGCATTTTCTGGACAACGGGAAATTGAGTTACCCTGTGGGGTAAGTGACGTCATGCAGAACCAGAGGCATTCTTTGAGGTTGAAGTCCCGCTTTTCCTCGTCGTCCTTGTACTTCTCTTTGTTGTTGCGGTAGCTGTACGGACTCAGTCTGTCGAACAGGTACATGAGGAAACTGCAAAAACGCGTGCTCTCAGTCAGACGAGCTTTGCTTTTATGTGCTTATGGTTCCTAGTAGAGTAATCGAAGTTCCCTAAAACAAATCCGTTTTGCAAACCATCGGTCGGACCGCGACCGGTGAGCTGCGCCAACGTTCCATTAGTGGATCACCAGCAAAACGACTTGCTTTGTAAAGGGATTCGTTTGCAGGCGATCGGTCAGAGTATAGTCGCACGCGACGCCATTGCCCAAGAAACCTTTTTGTTGCGGTGCAATTTCAAGACGATATTTGCACGCGGCTCACAAACTGGACTCAAGCATTGCGCGAACACTCCATTTGGGCTCGTGATAATCAACACCTCGACAAGCATTCGGGTAGTGGCTCGTGCCCAATCACTTCAATGACGAAAATTGCCGAACCCTAACAATGTCTGGAACTCAGCGCGTGTCCTCTGCTTTGCCAACCCCAGTGCGTGTTAAAAATGCGACTCCTGACTGCAAGTTAAGGAAAAGAGCGTTGCTCGGTAGGTATAAACGTTATATTAATTCTAAGTGGTATTTACGCAAAGTATAAAATTCGTTGCACGTCCCCTTTAAGGATTTTCTAAAAGTGAGCCTACGCACCATACCTATTTTGGACGACAGTCGGTGCGTTCTGCGTTAAAGCAAAGATACAGGCCAGTTGTTTTATTATAAGCATGTTAACCCCGAAGAACAAAATGAACAAGGACATTAATCTTAAAATATAACTCTTCGAATGACTTTCTGAATGGAAACCGCTTAGGGTTCTTTATCCAGATTGTCTGTAACACAGATTATTTAAAAATAACCTTTCTGCAGACGATTGGTCGGACTGGGGCATGAGAGGTCTGCAACGACTCTGCAAAACGGTTGTCTAAACAAAAGGAGTTTCTAAAAAGGCAAAGAGTTTTGCAAGAAATCGGTCTAATTAAGAGTCTCCAACACAATGCGATGCTCAGTTTTTCGGTCACACCCCTGGGCCTGCAGTGTGCGGTAACGTCATGTAATCGACCTCAGTCCGATCAATAGTTTGCATACTTTTATATCTATAACGCCCAAGATTAGTCGCGGTGTGACGTGAACAGACCGCTGTTATGAGAAATGAAACCCTACAATGGGTTCTGAAGTTTAAGCGCATTTTCCCAATTGGAGTAAAGTTTCTACCGTGGCGTGCTCGGTTGCACTGGCGGAAGTACGTAGGTGAGAGTCACCTTGTGAAGAAGTATGCGGCGAGGATGCAGCCCCACACACTGCCCTCGAGCACAGTGAGGAATTTGAAAAGGGAGGACTTGACTTCCGGTTTCTTCATGAGGATGGAGATGCCGACGAGGTCGTAGTAGGGCACCGTAAAGTCCACAACCGTTTCTCGCTCGGCCATCACTGAGATGGGACCCAGGGCGATGTCGGCGTTCTACGGGGAGAACGAGGAACGCACTGACGAGCGCCCACGTGGCGGTGACCCGGTGGCAATCAGTTCGTTGGACGACGTTTCATCGAAAGATCGTTTCGTCGACATGTGACGTGTCATCGACAGTTCGTTTCATCGAAAGGCTTCCTGCGTTCGTTTAATTGCCAGACGTTCCGACACTCCGTCGAACACAACCCTGCTGACGAAAATAATCCCTTGAGAAGGGGAACAAGGGGGACAAAGGAGAAACAAACTGGTGGCAGCTGATTAAACCTGTTTGCTCCACTAACGTCTAACCCCTGGTTAGTTCAGGTGGTAGAGCGCTCCACTGAAAATGGAGAGGTCCCGGGTTCGATACCCGGACCAGGCGGATTTTTTCGGTCGCGCACCAGTAACCTTAGCTGTATTTGAGATTTGTGTTTGTCCTTTGTCCCCCTTGTTCCCCTTCCCCAGGGATTATTTTCGTCATTCTTGTCCAGCTCGCTCGCACATTTACATTTAATTGTTTATATGTATATACTGCAAACTTTTACACAGTTACATACCAAAACCATTTTGTAGAATTCGCGTAACCAGCCCGTGTTCCGATATATCTGCGCCGAAGTTTCTACTTAATCCGACTTCTTCTCCACTCAATCCGGCAAACCCGCGAAAGTAGGCTGTATAGCCGAACTTCGCTACATTAGCCGGATAAAAGTGCAAAATTCGGGGACGAATATTGCGGAACACGGGCTAGTTACGCGAATTCTACACTATGGAAGTCTTGGAGTACGACCGCCTCAAAATGTGTAGTATAAACGGATATCCTAATAGCAGTATTCAAAAATTAATTAACGAATTTGAGATAATCAGCCTGATAATAGTGATGGTTATATTCCCATATAATGCCCGCCGAGCCATATAAACACAGAGTGAAAACAACATTCATATAACTTCCTCCCGTTAATTCGAAAAATTGGGGGAGCTAAAAAACATACTACTCCTATATATATATATATATATAACGACTTTGGTCATAATATTTCAGGGGTTTTATTTATTTTAGTAACCGGGCCATCGTAAATATTATGAGTTGTATGTGCGAGTTTTCTTAAACGCGCTCTGCTCCAGCAATTTATCCAGTAAGAAAAGTCGCTTGCCAGAGCTTGAAACATATTTAATTGTATAAATTATGGGGAGGAAGGAGCCGGCCAAGCTCATTTTCAACTTTTTTTCCGCAACCTTCCCCATAGCTTTGAAGGGAAATAAAGGTATTATGAATGTCTGGCTTCCCCTGTTCTCTGACTGCAGGTGTCATTACTGTTAACATGAATGGTTTATTTGAGCCCTTCGTAACGTCCCTTGGTTATTACAAGAGTTGGTATGAACATATATAGCGGCAAAGAAATCATGGTAAAGTAGCTTTTAAAAACATCTGCTGTTAATGAGACTACCAGCAGCATTGCATTGAAGCCAGCATAGTTAAACCAAGGATTGAGTGACAGGCGTAAAATTGGCATATTTAACGTGTCCCCCAAAATACAAGAAAATTATTACACTTAAGACTTATATACAGTGTTTCTAGACCGTATGGTCTATCAAGTAAAAAAAGTTCAAGAAAATAAGCACTGTTTTTTTAATAAATGCGACTTCAAATATTTTAAATTTGTAGATTTGTAGCAAGTTTGAAGCTAGATATATGTTTGTTCGTAAACAATAAGAAGACACAAAATACGCCATCAGATAACTTACAATTATAGCTATGCATTGATACTTGATTCATGTTACTATATTTGACGGGAGCAATTCAAGTTGGAAGCAACATTAGCCAGGTAGCAAGTTCGCTACTTTATACAAAATTAACTCTGAAATCACTATATTATTGATAAATTGTCCGTAATGTTTCCTGCAGCGTGAAAATATATTAGCCGCTTGAGCAAAACCAACATACTTAAATTGACGTTCATAGTCGAGAAAAAAAATCAAGTTGAGTTTTTGACACATTTCATTTCCTGCCACTTGGATTTTTTAAATTTTTTCTAAAGGGCAGTTTTGTGCATTAGAAAAATAAAGCTACCACATACAATTAAAAATATCACCCCGACAAGTTTGGTCGCATTCAAATGAAACCGGTCTTCTATAGAATGAAACATCTATACGCAATTATTTGAGATTAGATAGAGCTTTCTAACAATGGTTGCCACCTTAACCCCTTCAACCTGCACCTTTTTAATGTGACACGCTTGGGTGTCAAATAAGCATAATTACTGGACCTGCTTTGGACTACCCGCCCCGCTTATATTTATATATAACACGGCTGTATAAGACGAGAGTGCACGACACTAGAGCGTCAACGGAAGAGAGCGCGGCAGGAGAGCGCCGGGTCATGAGAGCGCATGTGCTTGCCTTAGGAATGATCGATGTTGGGGTTGTCAAACACATGTTTTCACGGAGCTGAAATTTTGACATCAGATGGAGTCGCATTTCGAGCGCTTTATGGCATTTAAATCACTGAGCACGCAAATTAAGCTGAGCGAACTGGCAAAGCGACGCAGTGGTCTGCAGTCGCACAATTTAAGATAATTCATATTTTTCAGGTTATCGATCCTAACACAATACGTTATAACGCAGTTGTCGTCACTGCCGCTTATAGTGTGCTCCTTTTAAAATTTTTCGCTGCTTTCGCTCTTGAGACAATTCTACTTGTCATTTTTGTCACACAGAAACAAAAATTCGCTTCACATATCAACATGGCCGGGTGAAACACGTTGGTTTGGCGATTCCCTTCTTTGGGGAGGAGAATAAACATTTTAGTTCTTTAGTCAGAGCAAGGCTGCAGGAGCCTACCGTGCGTACAGGTGGTACATCATTATCATTTTTAATTGTGGCGAACGTTGGGGAAACGTCGAATTTGGAACGCGCTAGAAATCAATTCGTTCGTTCCCATGATTATTGAGGAAATTAAAGCTGCACTCACATATTGTTCAATGCCATCTTTCGCGTAACAGATAATCTAATGTTACTCTAGACCTTTCCAAAAAAGGTCTAGTTACTCCAGACCTTTCCAAACAAAGGGCTCCTGGCCGGTTTCATTTTCAGTGTTCGTGCGTATGGCGCGTGATTTGCTCGCTTTCCGAAGCGACGAACATGCGCCTGCTGGGCTGAGCAGATCGGATGCTGGGCTGAGGACTTGCGAATCTTAGAATGGCGTTTAAAAGGGGTTTCGATACTGGGACGTTCTTGCCACGGCAAAAGGCAACTTGCTGGCTGCAGTTGTTCAGCGCTCTCGTGACGCGCGCTCCAATGACACGCGTTCTCGTGTCGCGGCGCTTTCCTGTCGCGCGCAGTCGGAGCTCTCGTGTCGTGCGCTCTGCAGGCGCCCTCTAATACGACACAAGGTTCTGCGTTCAGCACCGATATCAAGGATACTGCCGGAAAATCGCCACACTGAATATACACGACCTTTTGGATAGCACTGCACCGGGTGCTTTTGTCCAATTAATATTTGCGAATAAGGGCAACTGTCATCATTTTGTGATTGTCAAGGGCTAGTGAACGGGTCTTGTGTGGTTGGTTATGCTGGTACAATGCACAAACCCCGCATGCGATCTACTACAATCTTCTGAGGAAGCTGGGCAAATGATTAGACCGAAAATAGCGACCTACAAATTTGCTTTCCTGGGGAGCCTCAGTATCACATCTGACATACTGATATTCAGATTGAATTGGATTTCTTAGAACAATAGATTTCTGGGCATTGTAGTTCGCTAGAATTTTTCGGCGATATGCCCGTCTTGCGGGAAGGTCCTTGCTAATAAATATAATAAATATTGCACAAATTCTTCGAGTAAACACGATGTCGGATACGACAAGTACGTCACTAAAGTCACTCTTTCTATGGTCTTGTAAGCAATCAGGTTGCAGCAGGGAAACTATTGCAGTTTGGCCCTGTTCGGAGCGACCTTACTTGATCGTATACCATAATGATTTCTCAGAGGGCGCTTTGACTGCGAACAGTCTATTGTGCATGCAGCCTTACCTTGTCGACGAGTTCTCTGATCATCCCGTTCCACTGTTTGGTGTTTTTGTCAATGGACCCGAACATCTTATCCTTCACTTCAGTGATGACATACTCGAATTTAAGGATCTCCTTGATGGCGTTAATCAAGTCGATGCAGTAGCCTTCGAACTGGTTCTCACCGTTGCTGGCGTTTTTGCGCACGATAAACGGTGGTTGCTGGAAGAGAGCCAGCCATCGTCAGCTGGGCACGATTACCTTACCTAGGGACACGGATCTCACGGGCCGCAACAGGTGCAAATGCGGCTTTATATTGCAGTTCGTGTGGCGTTATTTATTTTCTAGAACCTCTTTGCCTAACCTCAATGTCCTCCTGTCCTCATTAAGTAGTATAAAGTAGGAAACCGGCACGAGGCGCCTTAGAGACGACATGCCATGCGGATCCCTTGCGGAAATTGCAACTCTTTGGGACCCTTCTGGATTGTCCTATCTGGACAACTTTCATTTGGCGCAGGTGAGCGTTTTAAATGGGCATCCATGGGCTCGTCTCTGAGCTATCCTTTAAAAGACTTTGGAACGCTGGAGCGTGGGGAAGGAGAGGCAACGCTCCAAACACAGCTGAAATTTGAGTTTACAGACCACTTTCCTAAATAGGCCCACAACCAGAGCACAGCGCATTCTGAATGTGCTATACATAGCTTGCACTGACGTCACTTGGTCAGACATAACGAGGGAAAGGGCGCGTGAGAGGGTAGCTTCGGCCGCGTTAAAAAGGCGCTTCTGGCCACCAGAAAGAGGGGCGTACTGACGTCACGTGCAAGCCACGTATTTATTGGAAAAAGAAATGGGGCTCGGATGGCAGTGCGCGGGCAGTGCTTGTTCGGATCTGTCTCGAACAGTCACCATAGACGCACCATCCTAGTCGAACTCGATTCATTGTTCCATCCGGAGTCCGAGATTTATTTCTCCACACATAACTTTATTCGTCCATTCCTTGTCTAACCACCGACGAATAGTTTTAGAGCAGTCACGATATGGGAGCTGAGCTCGAAGTATGGTAAGATTCAGTTGCAATATCACCTAGATTGTTCGTGTTTTTTTTTACCCCGGCAGATAAAAAAACAAAATTCATCTACCAGTGTTCGTAGGTGTTGAGCGATTTTAATGAGGAATCGAACTCTCAATTATTCTAGAAATAGCAGACACGAGTCGTGATAAAATATTCAATGTTCACATCACAATTAAACTTTTTTGTCTCTCCATCTCGGAAATGGAGGGCACTCTAGCTTTCTATTCTCTGGCACACTGGGGGTGGTATGACCTGGACGATCGGTCAGCGGCGCGTCCGTGGTTCGCGCCCCGACCAAGCCTCGGTGCTTTCAAAGCCCCACGAGTTGGCAATGCAAGTGTCGTCTGCCTCTTGCGGTGACGTCAGAGAGACGCCGAGCTCTGATTGGCTCTGATGGGAAGTGACCCCGAAGCAAGCTCCCTGGAACCCACTATTCTTCAATGAGAGCCAATCCGAGATTGGAGCTCGGATGTCACCCTTACAAAAGAAGCAGACGAGCTTGCGCTGCGCAGAAGACAGACGCTCGGAGTAGTTTTGTGGCCAGTGCTTTCTATTCTCTGGCACACTGGGGGTGGTATGACCTGGACGATCGGTCAGCGGCGCGTCCGTGGTTCGCGCCCCGACCAAGCCTCGGTGCTTTCAAAGCCCCACGAGTTGGCAATGCAAGTGTCGTCTGCCTCTTGCGGTGACGTCAGAGAGACGCCGAGCTCTGATTGGCTCTGATGGGAAGTGACCCCGAAGCAAGCTCCCTGGAACCCACTATTCTTCAATGAGAGCCAATCCGAGATTGGAGCTCGGATGTCACCCTTACAAAAGAAGCAGACGAGCTTGCGCTGCGCAGAAGACAGACGCTCGGAGTAGTTTTGTGGCCAGTGCTTTCTATTCTCTGGCACACTGGGGGTGGTATGACCTGGACGATCGGTCAGCGGCGCGTCCGTGGTTCGCGCCCCGACCAAGCCTCGGTGCTTTCAAAGCCCCACGAGTTGGCAATGCAAGTGTCGTCTGCCTCTTGCGGTGACGTCAGAGAGACGCCGAGCTCTGATTGGCTCTGATGGGAAGTGACCCCGAAGCAAGCTCCCTGGAACCCACTATTCTTCAATGAGAGCCAATCCGAGATTGGAGCTCGGATGTCACCCTTACAAAAGAAGCAGACGAGCTTGCGCTGCGCAGAAGACAGACGCTCGGAGTAGTTTTGTGGCCAGTGCTTTCTATTCTCTGGCACACTGGGGGTGGTATGACCTGGACGATCGGTCAGCGGCGCGTCCGTGGTTCGCGCCCCGACCAAGCCTCGGTGCTTTCAAAGCCCCACGAGTTGGCAATGCAAGTGTCGTCTGCCTCTTGCGGTGACGTCAGAGAGACGCCGAGCTCTGATTGGCTCTGATGGGAAGTGACCCCGAAGCAAGCTCCCTGGAACCCACTATTCTTCAATGAGAGCCAATCCGAGATTGGAGCTCGGATGTCACCCTTACAAAAGAAGCAGACGAGCTGGCGCTGCGCAGAAGACAGACGCTCGGAGTAGTTTTGTGGCCAGTGATGCTAGAGAACGGAGCTCGAGAGTCAGAAAATCACGACGACAGTAGCTGTATTTATAATTCACAATTTGCGATTACTGAACCGAAATATAACTGAATGACAACTACAATTACTTTTATCGAGAAGTAACGACACTCAACGAGCAATGAAATTACTGCAGTAAACTGCTATTCACTGCCAACTTTCGAAACGCAGGACGAAATCCGAACAGCTCATGGTCGCTCCGCACCGACTGAAACTGCGCTATCCGCCGGAGGAACCAATCACGTAGTGTGAACAGCTACGCCTTTCTTATGCTCCGTAAAATGAAAAATGGCATACCCATGTCTCGCGGCGCGAATCGCACTGCACAAGCTCCATTTATGAATGTCGTTTTTTTCACGTGATCCGTACATTTTCGTTTACGAGCAAACAGAATAACGACGTAGAATGATGACAATCGATTTTACGAGAAAATACGTTGTAATACTGAGCATGACGTTCCTGTGCCCGGGATCCGAGCGCAGAACGCATTTTCAAGTTAAAGAATGGTCCCCTTTATTTGCTTTTTCGGTTCCTGTAAATCACAAGAAATGGCCCTCTACGTCTTGTACAGATACGTCCGATGCGCGAAAATTCTTCACAGACGAAGCTCGTATTGTCTGCGGGAATTCGCGGTTGATTTCCGCATTTTCTAACGCGAGATTCTAAATGTATAGGCAATAAGGTCGGTATCGAAATATAACTACAACTAAACGAAGCGACAATTCATAGCTCTGCTGCTCTCTCACGTACTCACCACAATAGTCGTGATTCGAAACACAGTCACTGCGGCAAAAGGTTTCAGCTTGTCGGCTTCGCTGAGAGTGCCCATTCCGTCTCCATCGTCTGTCCATTCGGAAACCTGGGAAAATGGAGTCCTCGATGCACTCGCTTAAAGGGCAACTCCGGCCAAAACTCAAAACGCAATAAATTACTGGTACCGCTGTAGTGACACAAAATACTACCCCAGTCAAAAAATTACGTCCGGGGGTCGCCGCATTCTCAACTAATGCCGATAATAAAAATGCGACCCGCCGCGAGCCGCTGCTCCTTAGCGGGCGGCCAGCGGGTTGCCGATCGCTAAAGCAACATTGGGCCGTGACATCAATATCCTTCTCTTTTTTTTTCTTCCGGTCCCGGCGTTGCGCGGAGTGCGCTTCTTTGAGCCGCTACCACCGCTACTTCGGCTTGTGACTTGCGTGTTTAGCCGTTGCCTTTATCTGTAGCCCGTGTAGCTTCGGCATAGCCTTTTGTTTATTTGCTTGTGAGGACTCCAGGACTCGTTTTAGTGAGCAACTCGGTGCGCCCAAGACTGCCCAGCTGATCCTCGAAAGATGCCGAGTAGAACGTGTAGCGCTGTGGGCTGCTCAAACAACCCGCTGCGGAACCCGGAGGTGCTTTTTCACAAGTTTCCAATGGACCGGAAATTAGAGAAGTTGTGGGTGAACGCTGTTCTACGAGTGGATTTTGTACTTCGGCTTTTACGCACCCGAGGAAAAAAGAATGAAAAGCAGTCGTGTTCAGCCCAGCACACGTGTGTTCGGGCGCCGCGGCCAGCGCCGGAGCCTCAAACCTTCGTGTCTGGGACTGACCCGCAGCGCGAAAGCGAGAGGACCCTCAGTACTGTACGTCACTGGCAGCGCGGCGTAAAGCAACGCTGCTCCATCCACGGAGCCCAGATGACAATTTAGGCCTAGCGACGAGTACGGAAGACCACACACACGGCGACAGCCGCCGAGTACGGCACCGAACGAGTTCACTTGTTTTCCAGTCACTAGCTTTTGGGTATACAAGCGACGAGTACGGCATAGCGCACGCACGGCGGTGGCCGCCGAGTACGGCACCGTACGAGTTCACGGGTTTTCCAGTCGCTATAGCTTTTGGGTATACGTACTAACTCTTGCTACATATGCTGGATAACTAGCACGTATACAGACTTAAAACAAAAGCAGCTAACCTCCTATCTTTAGACGGCTAGCGCAACAGAAATAGGTGCCGCTCGGCCTGCGTACTTGTTGAACGAGAACGATCTTGACGTCACGTTCACATAGCGGCTTATTTCCAGTGTTGCCGGGGCCTCGAGCGGCTAGTTTTGGTTTTGTTGACCGCGACCCAAACAAAAATTTGAGGCGTCGATATCTTTAAAACTACGCTTAATAACGAGAAAAAAAATTACACCTTGCAGTTCAGGGACGCTGACTGCGCTAAAAACAGTCAAAATCCCAAAATTGAAAATTGAAATCCCTACGAGGTCGAAAAAACGATCAACCAAAACAGACAACGCAACAAGAAGTACATTGGCATTCCCAAACAACGTCTTCTTTCACAGTGCAGGCCACGCGCCAACTTTTGCGCGCCTGTTGGTCTCTTGTGGCTCCTGGCGCCGCCGACAACGCGCTGACTTTGTGGTAGCGCGTTGTCAGTTTTGGCTCAAGCGCATCTCGTGTACACGGGTACCCTGTCGGTACCCGTGTTCTTAAATTCATCCAACGCTTTCGAATAAGGCAACACCTTGCACCCCTTTGCTCTTGGCAGCTTGCTCGACGCCGCGGGAGCGACGGGTTGGCGGATGAGGCTGTGCTCAGCTGGTAGTTCTGGTTCGGTAATTACAATAAAATAAACGTAGCAATCAAGAATAAGTTTATGATGCACAGAGTTTGTGCAGGTGACTCAAGATTATTCAATTTAAAATGGCGACGTGCGTGCTTTACGGGTTTTCTTCGAGCACATTCAAGAAGTTAGGAGCATGGCTGCTTCGTTCGAGCAATACTATGAACTAACTACATTTTGTCAAAATTCTTCGTAAGTCAGGGCTTCTAAATACAGGCCTTATTTAGGTGTTGTAGAAGCCTGTGAGCAATGGCGGAGACAGTAAAGGAGGGGGGGGGGGGGAGCAAAAAAATCTGCTTCGAAGAACCTCTCCGAACAAAACAGTAAGGCAAGAACCAGCGGGCCCTCAGCTCTCTCCTTGTTACTTCCGGTTTCTTACGAATTAAGTTAAGAATATATCGTATATATTTTGGAAACGCGGTCCAAATCGTTCCTACGAAAGCTGCACATCGCACAGAAAAAAAGTTGAAGCCGCAGTGGTCTGTGCCAAAGGGCCCATTAATAAAAATGAAATTGTCTAGTATGATTGGGTAATTAATTACTTCTGTAATAAATAAATAATATAACAAAAAAACTATGAAGGTACGGTTTCAATCAAAAACCTGATGAGAGTCATTCAAAACTACCAAGTCCACACATATTACAATGATATAAGGCAGCCTTTTACGAGGTTCCGAAAAATGGCTCAAATTGGACGCTTTTCTATGTTTTGGTTTCTTTTCAGAGCGCATCTCCGCGCCAGCAATCCTGTCCCCCGTGGCCAAAACGCTCAACGTGCGTGCGGTGTCACGCATCGCACGTAAAGCTGCATCCTCCTACTGGCACCGACGTGAAAAAGGCCAGCTCATGGGCAATCCGCAGGCTTTCTTATCTCGACTCTATGCGCGGCGGCGAACGCACCTTGCGCGTGGGTATTGTTGGCGCGGAGATGCGCTCTGACAACAAATCGAAACCTAGTAACACGTCCGAATCAAATAATTTTCGGAACGCCGTAAAATATTGCGCGTGCCTAATATGTAGGGTGGAGAATAAAAATCAAGATGATTTAAATTTTGATTTAAATCAGACAAGTTTTACATGATGATTTAAATCAAACCTTTCCCGTAAAAATAATATCGAAATTATTTTTTATTTAAGGTTTGTCAATCATTTGATGCCTTCTATGTGCGTTTGTTTTGTATTTAAATCAAAGAATCATCAATCAATAACGGCATTGCTCTTTTGAGCAAATCGGATCATTGAGTTTTTTTTTCTCTACTTTTCACGTCGTTCGTCAGTTACATAGGGTCCTACTGCAAGCAAATTAGAACGCAAAACAAATAAACAAAAACTAGAAAGGTAACGTCGTATTGCGAGCAAATCAGCACGCGAAAAACGAGTGAACATTTTTAGCTAACGAGAAAAATCAAACTGTTTTTGTACTAGTATGGGTGGAGTTACACAAATAAAAAGTTGTTAATTAAACAGTTCTTTAAGTTTGCAGTAATTCATTCTGCATTGTTATCAGTAATCCGAAGGTTTGATAAATCAATCTGCCATGTTTAAATATATATGTAGCGATAAAATTCACTCATTTAAGCTCCAGCGATTTAAATCAAGTTGAACCGATTTCTATCAAATGAATCTGATTTAAATTCCATAAATATGATCTAAATAAAATATATCTGATTTATTCAACGAAAATCCAGATTTTTTAACCGTGCTTATGTCAGAAATCTGGGTGGAATTTGTAGTTTTCCATGATTCGCATTAAATGTTTTTAATAAAACCCTACATTTAAAATTAACAATAAAAATTTTAATTACTAAAAAAGTAATTTATTACCCAATTCTACTGAATCTTAATAATTTTTCTTAATGGGCCCTTCGGTACAGACCACTACGGCATGAACATTTTTTCTTTTCATGCGATGCATAGTTTTCGCGGGAGTTAGTTAGCAGTGACAATAAAATATCCCGTGTGTGTATAGAAGAGGTGTAGTGGCCAGGGAGATGAAGGCCTGGTTACACAGTAAATTTCAAAACGCCTATAATGGTGGGTGACAGGTGTTTTATACCCAATGCACCTTTTCAAAACGCTATACTTTTTTTTTTTACGAAAGGTGTAATATTTTTTAAACACGTACTGAGCGTGCGAGAGAGGTGCTATCAACAGATTTTGGAGGCTTCAGAATAGTGTTCAGGAACTATTACGCTTTTTACAGAGGAAAAAGTGTTTCCTCCTGAAAGCACAGTTTTCCAAGCTTGCCGGGACAGATTCCACTGAAACAATAGACCGGAGTCATACTGGGCGCTGCGTATAAGACACCCTTTGGGAATTTTGGGAGTGACTGGGGGACGATCATGCACCAAATGAGAAGTGGTGAACATTTCTCGTGGTTTCGGTTTCGAACTCTAAAGCGCGGAGATGCCCCATCGCTATGCCATGGCTTTCGAACGAACGGTCTGAGCTGCGTCGTTTGTTAGTGAACGTCAGTTGAATCACATTTCAAGTCTTTGGAGCTAGTATACGACTTGAAAAAGTTAATAGGTGCAATCTGAGAACTTGTGATATATCCATGGCAGTTTCGTAATCGCAGCCTTACTAGAATCTTGACTATAAAGATATTTTTTTTCGAGGTGGGCGAAAATGAGAACTGCCAGTCGTATGTTAGGAATTAAAAAATCATGGACTTGGCTGTATAAATTGGGCGTCTTCATTCACCATATTTCATAGAGCGATTGCGCTTGACGTCAGTAAGAACTCGTTCAGGTTTAAGTACCGAAGCAGTGCAAAAACATACTAATTAGCAAGATAATTAACTAAAACTTACTAATTCCTTTTCGAATTAGTAAAAATGAACATATGGTTCCACTGACAAACTTGCTAAGCATCATCGAAAACCCCTAAATCAACTCTTTTCGGAAGACAAGGCACGGGCAGCATTTTACAGCGTTCCGTAAAAACGCTCAACTTTGATGCGTTCCTAGGTTTCAGTTCCTTATCGGAGCGCATCCCTGCGCCCGCGGTCCCGCGCCCCAGTGGCCGAGACAGATAACACACGTGCGCCATACTTGCCTCCATCCTACCAGGGAGGCGAGGGGGTGACTTCGCGCCGCGATGACGGGGGAGCAGGACCGCGGGCGCGTAGGTGCGCTCCGATAAGGAACCAAAACCTAGAGACACGTCCAAACTGTGCGTTTTTTGTTTTTTTTTTTCAGAACGGCGTAAAATGCTGCCCCTGCCTTATTCCTTTTTAGCGTCTTCAGGAACCGCCAAATAAGTGATTTTTAGACATGCTTTGAGCGCGTGGAAAGCGCAGTTGTGCGCTCAATTTCCCACTCGTGTAACAGGCACAAGACCGGGCCTATGATGAGAGACGGAGTAGCCGCGCGGGTGCTTTATCGCACCGCTAGTCTTGCTCCTGCTGCACCAGTGGGATATTGAGCGCTCCACCATCCTTCCCTCGTGCTCCAAGTATCTCGATTATTTACCAGTTTAGTAATCTTTGATGACGCTCAGCATGTTTCGAATTAGAATCATAAGTTCATTGTCAATAATTAAAACGTGAATTAACATATTTTATTTAATTAACCTACAGATCCCTACGATTATCTTCGCATACTATGTCCACCTGGCCGCATGAGTCACCTACACAAACTGATTAGTTTAGCTTTCACGTCTGTTTTAAAACAAATATCTTAAAACGATCAGCAATTTAATTACATATGCTAATTCTCGTTTTAATACACATTAAAACGAGAATACACATTAAAACGAGAAGAGTTGCAAGTTCTATTTCTCGCATTAAAGTTAGGAAAAAAGAGCTGGCGAAAAATTGGGGCCACGAGCGGGGCTCGAACCCGCCATCTCGTTTATCCGGGGCGACGCCTTCATCGATTAGTGTTAAACCATCCCGGCAACTGGTTTCGGCGGACTCGATTTTTGACCAGCTCTCTGTATACGGTTTGTTTAGAATTCGTTCAACTGGGTGGACGACAGCCGTTGCTGATATATGTTTCAAGTTTTAAGATTTAAGAGTGCTTTCCTAGATATCTTGGAAAACGGGCCCTTTCTGACATTTGCAAGTTCAAATGACGTGCCACGTCACTGCCGCAACTCGGAACTAGCATGCCATTAAATAAAAAACGGCTATCGTCCACCCACTTAAGCAAATTCTAAACTAACTGTATATAGAGAGCTGGTCAAAAATTGAGTCCTCTGAAACCAGTAGCCGCGATGGTCTAATCGGTTAAGGTGTAGCCCGGACGCACATAGGCGATGGTTGCGGGTTCGATCCCCGCCCCTGGCCCAATTTTTCGACAGGTCTCTTTCCCTTTCCCTATCCCTTAATTAAAAAAACCACTTATCACTCTTTCTCTTTTTTCTCACATTGTTACTACGGCTGCGCTTGTCTATATTTCCCCGCTCACACTACAGTGTGTGTGTGTGTGTGTGTGTGTGTGTGTGTGTGTGTGTGTGTGTGTGTGTGTGTGTGTGTGTGTGTGTGTGTGTGTGTGTGTGTGTGTGTGTGTGTGTGTGTGTGTGTGTGTGTGTGTGTGTGTGTGTGTGTGTGTGTGTGTGTGTGTGTGTGTGTGTGTGTGTGTGTGTGTGTGTGTGTGTGTGTGTGTGTGTGTGTGTGTGTGTGTGTGTGTGTGTGTGTGTGTGTGTGTGTGTGTGTGTGTGTGTGTGTGTGTGTGTGTGTGTGTGTGTGTGTGTGTGTGTGTGTGTGTGTGTGTGTGTGTGTGTGTGTGTGTGTGTGTGTGTGTGTGTGTGTGTGTGTGTGTGTGTGTGTGTGTGTGTGTGTGTGTGTGTGTGTGTGTGTGTGTGTGTGTGTGTGTGTGTGTGTGTGTGTGTGTGTGTGTGTGTGTGTGTGTGTGTGTGTGTGTGTGTGTGTGTGTGTGTGTGTGTGTGTGTGTGTGTGTGTGTGTGTGTGTGTGTGTGTGTGTGTGTGTGTGTGTGTGTGTGTGTGTGTGTGTGTGTACCGGACTCCGGCCGAAACGTCACAGATTAAATCGTCCGTTGTTGCTGTTTTCACTAAGGGTTTTTTTCTTCTCAGTTTTATTTATATATATATATATATATATATATATATTTGTATTCCGATAACAATATTTGATACTCTGCCGCCACCGTTGTACATGCATCGTGTAGTCATGGGGCAGCGTTATCAGAGCGCTAAAACTATCTACCACGGTGCTTCGCAACATAGTCAAACGCAACTGTGTGAATGAGTCTCAAAGGAAGTGACATTACAATTGGTGATCAGAGAGGAATACGGCCGGTAATATCTTGGTTTTCCACGGAGTTTCTGCAACACAACAGCAGCAACACCCTTCTTTAAAAAACAAGAGAAACAATAAATACCTTTACACTCTCCACTTTTCTCCCTTTCCTGAACGACTCTTTTTTCAAGGTCATTTTTATTTTCTGGTAGCCACTTGAGGTGCCTGTAAACACGTATTTCCCGTAGGGTCCTTCGTAGGCCATCTGAAATAGTTAATGGGAACAAATAATTAAAACGTAGAGCATTGGGGTGATTTTGGGTCAGCTGATTTCGAGATTTACCGTTGCTTCTATACAGGCTGGCAAACACTCGCGTATCTGCGTTTTCGAAGAGCACCGGAGGTCAATCACTGCGACATCCCGGAAAATGGTCAGGAATAACGACATCAAAACAACGCACAAAATTTCAGAGAGGAAATATCAAACTGGTCTCGATAATTTTGATCAACCCGGGGAGCACAGAATGTTTCGTGCGTGCGTTATGCGCGCCTTATGATTTGCTACGCTTGGTTTCGGGGAGAATTGGGCGGTTTTCGGATACACACACGGCAACTTGTCGTGCCACTTGACGGGGAGTGGAGAGAGTCTCGGAAAGAGCCGTTTTATTCCGTGCAGCATCATGGTTCTCATCATAAGGTGACGGTGATATCCAATTTCGGCAACAGCTCGTAGGTTATATTTATAAGTTGAGCGCACTGTACTTCTCTTGCTTGTCTTTGTGTTTTTGTGCGCGGTTTTATAATTATTAGGTATGAACCGACTAGCCCATAGAACCATCTTAAATGCCTTAGATGTTACATGAAGGCATACTCAATTTTCACAGGCACACAAAACAGGGTACACTTGGGCAGCGCTGACTAACAATGCTTTTTTTTTTTATTTCATTGTCATTCGCTTTGTTAGTCAGCGCTGTGTGAGTGTCCCCATTTTTGTGTGCCTGTGCAAATTGTGTCATCATTTGTGCGCTGTCGCCTCGGTGGTAAGAACAACCACTCGCTCAAACTGCAGTCTTAACACCTTGAATGGCCTAAGGTGGAAGAAGAGACAGGTGCCTGAACGGTGCCGCCTCGCCATGGAACAAGTGTGTCGAAGGTTTGCCCGCATTTCTGGCACACGCCGTGAGACGCGCAATATGGCAGGGCTAGAGCAAGCGTCCTTATTCGCGCAAAGGTTTTCGAGGCCGCACGGCGCGCCACCGCGCCTGAGCGGGAGCCCTACACTGAGAATGCCTCTGCCGGGAGATGTGCGAAGCCCGAGTGAAATTTCGGCCCCCTTTCTGGCCTTTTCCGGATACCTCTTTCTTCTTCCTCCGAGCCCCGAGAACGTTCGTACCGAAACCTATGATCTACGCTGGTACTCTGAGCGCCAGAGATATCACACTCATTGTCCGCGAGTATATAACAATTATAGTATGTCGCGAATATTCAAATTTTCGAATAGTAATTCCGAATAATACGCTATTCAATATTCGCTTCGAGGTGAACTGCGATATTCGTACTTTTCGACGTGTTGATCGCCGCGGGTTAGTCCCGTTGAGTGCGCTTCTCACCGAACACCCTTGCACTGCGGCGAAGTAATGCCAACGCAGCTGGCGTTTTTCGCGAGTATAGCATCCCCGTAGTGCAGTAATGCTCGCAGAGAAGCGCACTTCACGGGACTAACGCTCCGATTATGCAAATGTTATACTCGGGGACAACGTTTTCTGGCATTTCCGGAGAAGCGAAGACCGCGTGAGCACAGCTGTGATCGGCACTCAAAGTGCGCGAGCGCAGGGGTACTCATAGCTTTGACTTCATTGCCAAGAAAAGTTGTCCCCAGGTATACCAATATTCACAAGTCCTCAGCCCAGTGTGTGACCTCCTCAGCCCAGCACGCCCATGTTCGTCGCTTCGCAAAGCGAGCAAATCATGCACCATACGCACGAACACTGAAAATGCACCGGCCAGAAACCCTTTTTTGAACGTGTCTGTTTTTTTTTGTTTTTTTTTTAGATTTTATTTATAAGTAAGTATATTTGCATATAGCAGACATATTTATGAATACGCTCGATTAGGACAGCTGTGAAAGATCTGTCGTTTACATGCCACAGTTCATAGAGTTATATTAAAATGAACTGGGCTTTGAAGTGGCAAGGGGAAGGTTAGAAACAATCTTCACGAGTTCAGCTAAAGTTTCGTTTAAGCATGGTGCGCGGTAGTGAAAGACTTGCAGAAACTATTCGATATTCGATTCGAAGATATTCGGCAAAAAAAAAACTATTCGGTTCGACTTCGTTCCGAACTCAAAATTCACTATTCGCACATGCCTAATTTAAATTTATAAGTTTGACACGAATCGCAAAGTTTTTTTTTTTGTGTGAGTGTTTTTGTTTAGTCGTTATTGCTATATTTTTTTTTTTGTGTGGGCGGTCTGTTGAGGCATGCTGCGTATCCCGAAAAGAAGCGACAGGGCACTGCCTCGTCTACTCCGCCTTTTGTACACGTCATACGGAAAACCGAAGGCTTTTTGTGCGTGTCTGGTTGTGCCACGCCGAATGTACCGAAGGGAAACTTGCCGCGGTCTGGTTTCTTTACGTTCAAGCCGCTTTGTGTATACGCGTCAGAGCCAAAATTGAAGGTTTGTTTTGTTTGTGCTTGGTTTGTGTTCGGTCGCGCCCCTTCTGGGTATGCCGAAGGGAAGCGGTCTGGGTACAGCTCGTTAGCGGCAAGGCCACTTTCTGTACGCGTTGAATTCATGGTATCGGCTGTCGGGTGACCGCGTCCCGACCGCCCAGTGACGCTGTTGAAGCTAGATGAAGTTAAAATTGATCCTGTGTTGTTTTTTTGTAACCCGAAAAACAGAGCTTTGATTGGAGCTAAGAAGCTCGTTTCCAATTCGTCTAAGTGAGTGTCTCCGGATAGCGGATAGTTCTTATATAGAGAGCTGAACTGGCGGGGGCACGGAATCCCAAGAGCAGTCGGAGACGCTGCTCTCCCGTTCTGCGGTCCTGAAGACGACGGGCAGTTGAGCCCGCCGTTGGAACGCCATTGTTGCTCCTCGAGTTCAGTTGGTTTCTGTGCAGCACTGCGCATGCCAGTGTTGCGGTGTAAGTGTGTGAGGAAGTGCGCGAGAGAAAATCATCCGACGGACTTGACCAAGACCATGGAGGAGGTTTTCATCCCCCTGGACCAGCGACGACGACAGAGAAGACTTTTATTATCCCTTGTACTTTGTTGCGCCTGTGCGCTTTGAGTATGCGGCTATGTATTGACCTACTCTTTGGTTTTCTGTTTGTCTTTTCGCGAGCGCGCGTCGCCTAGTGTTTTTTAGAGAGCTCAGTTTTTGTCGCCTTGCCAAGGCAATAAATACGTTTCAATTTTTATCCTCAACCCTGTGGTCGCCTTTCCTGATCACGTTTACACCACGCGTGGCCCTTTCGCCTGTCAACCGACCGAATTATCTTTTCTTTTTGTTTGTACATACATGAGCTGTGCCCTTTGTTAATTAGTAAAAATAACGTGAAAATGACAAACTGGCCCACGGACTTCGTGACAGAGTTGCAGTCCGGGATGTGACTATGTGCAAGACACCAATGTGTAACACGTTGCGCTAAGTGTCACCGTAGATAGAGCTTTTTTTTTTTGACCTGGTGTTGCGCTGAGCTCTCTCCGCAAATCGCAGAGACTGGTTCACGTCTGCGAGAGAGTTGACGCGCGGTCACACCACAGCCACAAACCAGCCGTGGTCACACACTCGGTCACCTATACCCACTAGAGGAGACAACATATTCTCTGTAACAGAGACCTCTCCTTCACTCTTCTAACAATAGTTCTTCTTCCCCTTTTTGTATCCGTTCTTTCCACTTTACGTTGACACAGTCTGTAATGTTCTGGCGCATCTATTTTCCGCAAGCCCGCGAGCGAATCGCTGTATGATATAAGGTGGAAGTTCCTCGAATGAAAGTTGCCCCAAATCAGCTTTTACTCGCAAGCGAATCTGCACTGGGACTTTGAATACGAGCTGTCACGTCCCCGGAATCCCGGTGCAGACTGTCGAAAAGATTTTTTTAGGCCTCGTCATTCGCATGCTTCTCTCCGTAGGTCCCAGTCACTGTATCTACGTGGGCCGAGGAGGAAGTATCGGCAGAACCATAGCCTCCTCTCTACTGAGAAAGCCTGGCAGATCGCCACGAGACGTGGCCGCCAAAAGTGAAAAGGCAGAGCTGCAGACAACGGATGAGAGGAGAGACGTGCAACGGGCGCGCCGCTGCGGGGAGACGCCGAAACACACTTCTCCCCAGCGATGGAATGTCCGCTCGTGCTCCTCGCGTTCCTCGCGCTACCGCTTCTTTTATCGTCGGGTTTGAAGACCATGTTTCGGGTCCTCGCCGCTGCAAAAGCTGTGCGCTGAATACCAGGTTCCTCGAGAAATGCTCTCTGCTACCAGATCCTTGTGCTCCAAATCTGCGACCGGGCACTCTATGGCTCCGTCGTCGAACTGCCAGGCTTCGTGAGTATAGAGGAGGTTTTGGCAGAACACGTCGATTATATAGAGAATATACTAAAGCCATACAAAATTACTGCAGGTTTGGATATTTGAACTGGATATTGCCATCAAGCTTCAAGTTACGCAAGGCGTTGTGAGGGAGGCTACGAATGTCTAATGATGCGAGTGACAATATACTGCCCAGTGCCTGACGTACACATCTAACTGCGTAACTTGCGTGAAGCGCCGCATGGCCTGGCCACAGACATACGGTGTTTCGTTTCCGTCTGGAGAGATACCATGCCGACTTGTCACTACCGGAAGCTGCTCGAATGACTGAGACGGCGAGCTATATGCATACCAAATGAGATCCATTGGCTGAATAAAAAAAGGCAAGTTACAAGGGAGGCTTCGACTGAAAGCCTTTTTAAGCAATTCAGCCCTTGTAAAGACAGAGAGCCTCTTATGTGAATCTCAAAGCCGATGACAGACTATTCCCTCGACCTTCCCATGAACCAACCATTGTGCCGACAGGCCTCTATTACAAAACTTTTTTGTGCCGTTTTTTTCATCACCCAAAAAAGTTGGTGCCTAAACATTCGATCCGTTATACTGTCCTCACTACCGTCTCTGGTTGTAACAGGCGTAGCTCACTTCTTTTATGGTGGTCTCCAGTTGGATGTCCTTACGCTTCTCCATGAAAGACGTCGGAATGGTCGTGTTAGAACAAGTCTGGAACTCGAGGACAGGCGGCATTCGGCTAGCCTTCCTTTCCTCGTTCATCGCCTTGACGGCCATCTTCGTCGTGTCGATGTAGAACGCCACGTCCAGCTGAAAGAATTAAGGCGCGAAGACAGCAGATGCTGTTAGCAGAGATACGAAAGTGAACCTCCTGTGGAAAGCCTCAGGAGGAGAGTCCACATGTTTCGCTAAGATAGATCCGCCCTGAAGAAGTTGAGTCTTTGAGAGAAATCTACATTTTGCGGCCCTGATAGCACGAACAAGTTATCGGCGGTTTTCTCTGGTATTTTCTCACTATTGAAGGACTCATCCAAGTTTACTATAGCTGTTGAAAGTGGTCAGTTAGGGTACTGGTGTAAGTGGTAAATTTTGATGTGCCCCCAATAGCCTTTCTAAGTAAGATGCCAGAAAGCGCCGAAGTCGTGTTCGCGCTAACAGTGGCGCGCAGTGTACTCTACCCTTCTGATTCCTCCAGCAGGTCTCTCATCGCGACGTCTGGATGAATGACAAACGTGTTTGAGAGAGAGAAAGAGAAACATTTCTAAAACAGAGTATTTCAAGAATTACAACCTGAACCCGAGTTTAGCAGGCAACTCTCTCAAGGGGAGAGGAAAAACTACTACCAACAAAGAGTCAAGAATACTAACTGTGAGACTTGTGGAAGCGACCATGTGTATCATTAGTCACCTACTTCACAGGCGTCACTGGCGTGCGCGCGACACTTGTTCGGTCTTCATCTCTGCATGACATTCAACTGAGGCCGATTGTGGATTAAGATGGGTTGAAGGTTAATTATAGCGTATGTTTTGTCCAGTTAATCTTAGCCTGAAAATCATTTCACCTCATACTATTGGGCAGGAAATTGAACTGTAGCGAGCGCTTTATCGAGCTTGTTGTCCCCACAGCCCAGTGTTTACTACGAAGAATTTGAACCTTGTCATGGACGGTTCGGACACGAGCGCGCCGCTCTGCTCAGTGCTTTGGTCGCAGGAGGAGCGGCATTCGAATCGTCCCCTTCGATTTCTCTGATCAAAAACAATCAAGAAAATCCGGTTTGTTGTCCGTACAGCTGAAGCGTACCGCGAGAGGCGTGACTGTTCCATCTCCTCCCCAATCACTAAGCGCGCGAAAGGTAAAAAACGGAAACGATGGACGTGGCATTACCTCTGAAATTTTCGACTGCTGGGGGCGTGCTGCTCGTGTGGGCAAGCACGTGCAAGTGCTAGTGTGCCATGTTACCTTCAAGCGCACGCTGCACGCGCTTACACACGAGGGTCGCTAGACTCGTTAGAAGGGTACTCCGGCGATTTCTTCAAGTACCTGAACCAACTATATTTTCGGAAAACCCGGCGCCTTTACGATATGCTATTTGGAATCGTGAAATTCATAATAGTTATTGCGAAATCCGCAAATGAAAATGTTGCAAAAATCAACATTCAGATATGCCTCACTCTTCAGTGCCGTGACGTCAGTGGAAGGCAGGCTTGCGAGTCGAGCGAGAAGTCTCAAAAATAGACCATGCCAAGGATTTGTTTCGTGCTGGTGTGCAGGTACTTGAGCGAGCGTCCAAAGCATTCATTTGAGATTATGAAACTGCTTGTAATCGGTCGGGAACAAAATGTGCAGGAACCCATGACTTTCATTGGCGTTACTTTTTCATTGTTGCCAGTAGAGCCTTTCAGTTTGAGAATACGGTGAGGACCGAAATTATAAATTCAATAACTTCGTAAAAAATATTTTGGCTTAATATTTGAAATACTAATTTAGCGATATTCGTTGATGGGTCAAGTAAATTTTCAGGCGAATCGGGGACCATGAAGAAATCGCCGGGGTACCTCTTTAAACACAAAGTTAGCGCCGAAGGTTACGGAGCTCGCTGATTGGACTCTAACGAAGATGACCTCACACGGGATGAGGTGTGAGTCACTCACTCAAACTGTCCCTCGTTGCTCCAAACCGAATAACGCACCGGACGAAGATTTCTTAGCGCTTTGGAACCAATGAGGGCGTATTAAGTAAAAAGCATTTCGTAAATCGGTTAAACAATCTTATTGGACACAAACTTGGACTGCCTGATGGTAATTGAAGAACACATTGAAAATCGTGCGCCCAGGTTAGAAATCCAGGGAACGAACAAAACTGCCCGTGTCTGCATGAACCGTTCCCTGTCGTTGGTGTGGTTGTCTGAACGTCTCGTGCAATGTTATTAGACACAAACTAACACCGCCTTGTAGTCACTGAAGAACACTTCCAAAATCGCCAACTTAAGTTTCAAGCGTGCAGCTCCACCTAATTTCACGCCCGTGGCTTCGTCGCCTTGCCACCCACCTAGCTTTATTGGTTTTATCACCCGAGAACGTGTTTGTATTGTTTTCATTATCAGCAGTCTCATGTCTGTTTCTACGTGCCGTAATGGTGTCACAAGACGACGTATTCTCACGTGACGTTTGAATGTCACGTGACATTACAGTGCCACGTGACGTCATGACATTATGCGACTCACGGTGTCACCCGACGTCACTAAGTCCCATTGCGTCATCGTGCAAAGTGACTAGACAATGTCACGTTATGGTATCCGCTGACGCCAGGTAACATGTGACGTGATGTTAGCGCCGGGACGTCATTGTGCAATGTTTTGGTGGTGGCGAAAATGGCCCGCGCCGATATGGAGCGCGGTCGTCGGCGCGAACCCCGCCAAGTGTTCCACTATCGCAGTGAAGAATCGATCTTGGGGTTGCGCGTGGCCCTTTAACCCGCACCTACTGGAACAAGACGTGCGGCTGGGCCAGCACTTGTGTGCAATCAATCAGAAGTCAGCGTTCGGCGGGGACTCGCCTTTTCTAGATCCGCCTCATGAGCCGGAAGCGGTTAGGGGCCGCCATATAACACATTATGTGGTAGACTCGAAACACGTCATCTAGCAGCAAAAAAAAGTAGAAAAAGAAAACGAGATTTCTGGAGATGACGTCACGCCCTCCCCCTACCTCCTCGCACTCACCGGGCCTGGAAGGAACGAAGCGGCTTCAAACTGTATTTTTCTTCTCAGCTACGGACTACTTCAGTTTACCTTTATGTTATAAATATAAATTGGGTTCATCTTTTCGTGTGTTCATATTTTTTGTTTATTTATTTCAGAAACCCTAAGGGCACAAGGGCATTACATAGGGCGGGGGGTGTTGCTCTAAATTCGGTAAAAACAGACATCCAACAGAAAACAACTATATTCCTTGTACGTAACGAAATATGGAGCTGCCTCGAAAATTGCACAGTGTAGTGAAAATAGTCTCGCAGCCGCGCTGCTGGTGTGTCTGAAGTTCGTTTATATTTGTTTTATTGAAGTTCAGCTTGCGAACTTGGACAAAACCTAATTTTTACGCTACCGTAAAACACAGTGTAACCCTTCGCTATCTCAATTATGGATATGTAAATTGTTCTGGATTCTATCTGGATTTCAGGTTTTTCGAAATTATTCCTTTTTCTGGCATTCTGGATTTCAGGTTTCTAGAAATAGATTTCCAGTTCCATAATCCAGAGAGTGAAAAGTTATACTGGGTTTTTCGGTAGGGTAGCTATGCGAAATAAAGGCAGGCTTTTATACGCTCAATTAAAAAAAAAAAAAAAAAAAGCACAGAGAGATGAAATGCGTGGCTGATGAGCTCCAACGTTACGTGCCTGTCCAGCTTGGCAGCCAGCACTTACCAGGATCGAAAACGTGGCTGGAGCCAGTACTTACCCGGGACGAAAACGGGTAGTTCTCTCGGTCCTTGTGGGCCGGGGTCTCCAGTGCAGGGTCGGTAATCTCCGGAGTTGCCACCAGAGCCGTTACATTCATGCACTCCTCGCATTTGGCAACAAATGTGTCCTGCGGAAACGAGAGGGAGGGGTTTCTTTACGCCAACGCGCTGGTTACAAAGAAGTGGGCATCGGCAGCTGCCGTCTGGAATGACGACTGACAAGCCTCGGGATCACCTGCAATCTGAAAGCATCCTCGACCGCGCACCGGAATATGTCGCGATGATCAAGTGAGACACGTCACTTTTCTGTAACATCACGACGGCTGTCGATATCGAAACTAAACGCGCAATGCCTGCAGGAAGGACAACCCTCGTTTGACGCCTGAGGGTCACGTGTTAATGACGAAATTTGTATCACCTTTGCGTCCCAGCGTATCGAAGCATTGACTTTTTGTTGAGTAGTTTATGTACAGGTTTCTCTTTTTTTTTTTTTGTAATATGTAATCGAAAAAAAAAAGAAAAAAACTTTTAGAAAACGTAGAGTAGTCACTCGAGCCGTTTCGTGACCGAGCTAGGGACTCCACCAGCCGCTAATCCACGCAGCAGTGGTATTTCATTTAGTCGGTTGTAATGTAATTATAATTTGAATATATAGCCTCTCTTGAAAGTGTAATCTTTTAATATAAAATATCGTTTTGACTACCGCCAGAAAGATCAAACTGCTGCGGCTATGGCCGCGGCTCGAAGGATGGCTTTGGAGCCGTCAACACTACGAACGGCGGTTGCTTAGGCTACTTCGGCTCCATGACCTGTGTTTGCCGTCGAGTGTTTAGTGGGTTCTTTGACTTGTCGTCTCAAGAGAATTTCCAGACATTCTTTCCTTGTGAAATTGGTAAGTCATGATGTGCTTAGCTTGTTTGTTTGTGGGGTTTTGGTTTTGTGCATTTGAACGTGACGTATGCGTCAAGCCAAAAGCACCCGTCTTTTTCTTCCCTTCCAAGAACACTTTACCACTCACCCCCATCAACTCGTCACCGTTCAATGAATTCCTGGCCATCAGGGCTTGGGAGAAAATTCAAGAGTGCACGCGCTCTCCCACGCTGAAGGAAATCCGGGGCCTCCCACCCTCTGGCCTGAATCCCATGACCCACGTGAACACCGCAAGCAACTACACAAAGCCCGAGCAGTTATTCTTAAAGAACTGCGCACGCCTGCCTCGATTTTCCCGCACAGACGATGTTGGAATATCCGCACAAGAGACCACTCATATCTAGAACTTTATAACCCCCCCCCCCCCCCCCCCCCCATCCCCCAACCTACGCCCTACCTCTTGGGAGAGCTGGCTTGCCCCACCAAAAGAACACCAACACGAACTCTACTAATATTCCTGATCCAGCACGTTCACAACCTTCTTGGGGAAGGGTGGTATAGATCTACTCCTCGAGCACCGGGCGAGGTGTTTGTCTTACAATAAATATTTCCTCTCTCTCTTCTCTGTGCTGGAAAAGAGCAGCGAGTACTGCAGTGTATTAGCGCTGAGATGTTTCGGTGGCGCCCTCTCATGGTTTTCATCCGTGACGTCACGATTTGACTCGCCCTGACATCACGAGTTTTTACCCTGCCTACTTACCATCAGTTGTGATGACAAGTTCGATGGTGTGATTAAAATGCGCAGTGGAAGCTAGGAGCCATTACAATCTGAAATTAATACCGTCGAAGTTGACAGCCTAACAGCGCTCTTTTGCCCGTGGTTTGGCCAATCGTGGAAAGCTGATCGCAACGACGCTTTTGTTCGCGAACGTCGCTAATACAGTGTGCAATGAAAAGGTGCGCGCAGTTGCAGGCAGGGCATATGAATGTTGACTTGGCCTTTCTCGCGTGAGCAAGCTCCACGCGCGTGCTGCACGTGCTGAACGCATGTCGTTGTATTACGTGACTGTGACGTGCAAGTCAAGCTTCCACGTTGCCCATCTTTGTGTATGCTAACCTCGAACTTTGTGGGGGTTTCTTGTCGCAAGGATATTTTTTTCATAATATTTAAGAAAGGATAGGCACCATACTCCATCTCACAAGATGTGTTCAGTGCTATCAAAAACGGAGCGCGGGCGTAACTCTGCGCAGCAGCCTGTTGCATAAGCCCATTGTTTTCACGGCTCTGCACACAACCTGTGACATGGAGTACAGTTTCGTATAATCTCACGATGACAAGTATGTTAAGTTTGTTTTCTATTTTAAGCCCCCGGAATGTTTGGCTACGGCAGCTACTGTTGCGTAGCCTGGTGCAGGAACATTGGAAGAACGCGAAAAAGATCGGGAAGAAAGTTCTTTCGGATTCCACAGGACGACAAGTAGGTTGTGGTTTCCTCCTGTATTTTTGTTTTAACAACATGCCGAATGCGCAGTTCAGTTGAAAGTGATTAAATTGAAACCAAAATCTTTTTTTTTTTTATAACTCAGTTGATAACTCTAAATAGCTTGATTTCTGCTCAGTGCAACTCAAAAAACCTTCAATTTCATTCCGACTGCACTGTGGGGGACTAAAAGGCCATTGTTCACCAGCCGCAGAAAGCATACGTAATACAAGTTGGGTTTGAGTAGCAGATTTCTTTAAATATTTTCTAAAGTTCTAAAGCAAGATATTCACAAAAGCTCGATTATTTGTTTTATATGTTTTAAAAGTGTGGGATTCGCAAGGTTGATCTAAAGCATACACAGACTTGCGAGCATAGACATTTTCGTGGAAGATAGACCATTTACTAGTGCCTGTTTGTCAAACAAATATCGGCCTTCGTAATGCACTGACCTCTTGCGTTCAGAATAATAGTGATTGTGTTACTACCTTACTTTTTGTGACACAGCACAAGCCTTGAGCAATTGCTGTTGCCAGCTTTCTCCGAGAAAAAAATGGCAAAAAAAGTGAGTTATCTGGGGAAGTAGGGAAGTTGCAGAACAAACTGATGATTGGAAATATGTAATGAGAATTAGAAAATCCCCTTCTCTATTTTCATATTATATAATAGCTACCCTGGAAATGTCATCTTGTAACCAAGCCTCTCTGCTTGCGTTTTACCTTCAAAATATTCTGTTCCTTTTCCACTGTTTTGTTAGGCATAGTTTTACCATTGACGATAACTCCTGGTGGTAGTTGTGTTGTCTTTTTTGAGAATTATTGACATTTATAAATAATAAAAGTATCATAGTACGATAGATAAAAGACTGGCAAATTACTGACGGTGTGTTAGTACGGACTGACAACCGGCAAGTAATAAAAATAACCGGCCTTGCCCGTCGAAAACCGGGCAGTTGGCAACCCTATAAGCAATGAGTGAAAAGGTTTTAGTCTATGTGCACCTTAATGAAATAACTGCTACCCTCTCAAGCAACATTACTTTACTATAATTCCCATGTGACAACATGATATACGCACCATTATGGTCAGGCATTTTTGTTTTTTTGGCAATGATGCACCTTTAATCATAATAAACCACAATGCATGTTACAAGTCTAAGGCCTGAATCAATTATTCCGGCAGAGAGAACCTCCTGGATAAAGCGGCTAGTGAGGTATATATGTGAAGTATCACCTCTGGCAGTGATCACTTCACGGCGCGAGACTTCACGGACCCTTAACGAAAGAGGCTAACAAAGACAGCTGTGCCTTCGGTTCACCGAGTGACACACTGTTCGCCCGGTAATACCTTTTTCCATACCCCATGGAAGCCACCACGTTTTACGTATCCTCTGATGACTGCCCCTTGGCACCTTTCACGGTTGCCCATGGTAAGAAAAAGGTTCCGCTGAAAAGAGCAACCTGTGTCTAACAAAAAAAAAAAAAAAACCCTTTTTGCAGACCACACATACGCGACCACCTCCTCCTGCACACCGTCCGACGGCTGCCTCGTGGCACCTTCCACGGTTGCCTAGAGGTAATAGAAAGGTTTTGTTGGAAACCACAACCTGTGTCTAACAGAAAGTATCCTTTGCGGACCATACGTAGGCGACCACCTCCTTCGGCGCGTCCTCAAACATCCACTCCGTGACACCGTCCGCAAGTGCAAGCTCTGAACCAGTTGCAGCTTGTATCAGTGTTGCGGAGTTGCCATTCTGGATTTGGAATGATTCCGAAATCATTCCGTACTTTGCGACCCCGTAATGACACGATGTGCGAAACCGCTTGGTAGTCTGGGAGCACTGTGCACGCGGCCACCTTGGAAGCGTCAAATATCTTGAATTTAGGTTTCTCAGTATTTCCAGGGAATGGAAGCTCTGCCACTAAGTGGGATTCGGAAACTTTATTGTTTTCTGACTTCCGATCACCCAACTTGGACAAAGGACTAAGCCGTCATGCCTTTCATCTCTTAGCACACTTTTAATTTTTTTTTCTCGATGCGAATGCGCATGAAGTTGTGCTGTTTAGTGGTAGACTGCTCCACACCAATACATGCGACTCAAGGTTAGTTTTTTTTAAATTTATTTGTTACTGGCCAAAAATATTTTGTTTGATAGAAAGCTTTGTGTTCTTCTAAAGGAAACTGTGGCCCGGGCAATATTTTTCACGCGTTGCAAAGAGCTCAAATCGTTTTCAGATAGCATTGACCTCAAGCACAGTTGACGGATTTCCGCCAGCAATGAAGATTTGTTCAACCCTGGCAGAATAACTGCATTAACTTTCTCAAAACTACCCCCGAGCTTCTTTGCTCTAAAGAAAAGTTTTACCTCAGTTGCGACAAAAATAAAACAAAAGAAAGAAAGAGAAGGAGATTGTGAAATGAAGTTGGCACCGCCTGCTTCATTCGCTTCAAAACGATACGATAATCACTCGGATTATCGTATCGTTCTGCCTCCCCTGTAATCAGGAACCATTGTGCGCAACTCTGTGCTGCTGTACGGTGACGTGAGTGCTCGCCCATACCAGATGGGTGATTTAAGGGCCGAGATGGAATGTCTTGGTGTGATTGGGCACATCGAGGCGCTCGGCGCCTACCAAATGAATCATCTCTGGATGGTGACCTTCAAGACGTCGGACGCCGAGCGGCGCCTGATCACCGACAAGCAACTGGAGGTAAAGGGCAAGCATTGCGTCGTCGTGGACTCGGAGAACGCGGACGTCCGCATGAAATTGCATTGGC